CAGCAGAAACCATGGGTGACTTTACCCAATTAAAGGCTATTAATTGAGACCTGTGAATGAGCTGCTAGGGGCAGTGATTTACAGGTCTAACACTCAATGAAACTGGAAGTTTTATAAGGCATTTAAAAACAATCATGAGAAACTTGCAAATGTCAGATGTTTGCAGGAACAAACAGAACTGCCCTGCAGGGGCTGTGTGAGGAGGCCATGGCACAGCAATACCAGGAATTGGGACTCTCAGGGTGAGGGCTCCACATCTGGAAGGTGCTGCAAAGTTCAGCATTTATGTTCTTTTGCCTGTATTTTAATCTACAGGCGGTTGTTGGACCTGACCTACAAGAAATCCAAGGTTGTAGTTCTCAATTTTCTGCAGTTTTTGGTTGTCATTTGGCCTTGGTTTGAGCTGGAGGCTGGGCATTCACTGCTTATGTGGGGACAGTGGCACTGCGGATCAGGGCAACACAGACACCCTGTACATGAATGGAAGGGTGCTGGAAGCTGTGAATTCCACAGGACACTCCAAAGGATGGCCATTGCTGGCTGCCCACAGTGGTGGCATCCACCTGCCCCATGCTGCCCTGCACACTCTGGATGGCACCAAAACCCTGACCTGGGCAGTGGGGGCTGTGCTGGCCCCAGCCCACCATGGGCACAGAGTCAGGGTGTCTTATCCTGCAGTGCCCTCCCCTTCTCCAGCCCCACAGGACCCAGGTTCCCCACCCTGCAGCAGGACTGGGGCTGATGGGCTCCCCAGGGAGACAGGCAGGAGAGGCAGAGCAGCCCACTCATCCACGATGGGCCTGAGGGGGAAACAATTCCTCAACATCTCCCTGTTTGAGCAGGAAGGGGGGACTGGATCACAGAATCACAGAATTGTGGAATTCTGAACTGGAATTGTGGAGTCCTGAGCTGGAAGTGACCCACAGGGACCATCCAGTCCAACCCCTGCCCTGCCCAGACCCCCCAACAAACCCACCCTGGGCATCCCTGGCAGCGCTGCCCAAACACTCCTGGAGCTCTGGCAGCCTCGGGGCTGTGCCCATTCCCTGGGGAGCCTGGGCAGTGCCAGCACCCTCTGGGGGAAGAACCTTTCCTGATACCCAGCCTGACCTTCCCCTGGCACAGCTCCATCCTAGCAAACCTCCCCTGGCCCCTCCCAACATCCCCGTTCCACCATCTGCCATCTCTGAGCTGGGGGTGAGGGATTCCCTCACTCTGTGCCCAACTGATGGCCCCAGTGAGAGGCCCCACATCCCCTCTGCTGAGACCCTGGGGCCCTGGCAGGTTCCAGCCTCAAGAGCTTCTGCTCCACTGCCCCAGGGGGTCTGTGAGCCACTGCAGCCCCATCCTGGCCTGTAATGTTGTGGGCACTTGCCTGAGCCTGGTTCCTTGGGACATGCACTGGCCAGATGGCCCCAGGACAGCAATCCCAACATGTCCCAGAGATCTGAGCGCACATCTCCAGAGCACCCCTGGATAAGGGGAGCTGGCCAAAGCCATGAGCAGGCGTTCCTGGGTGGGATGCAGGGACAGCACCAGGCTCTGCAATATTTCACCGTGGCTTTGCTCCAGGTCTCTAGCAGGCAGAGAAGAGCATGAGGCTGCCTCACTCCCAGCATTGTTCTAGCACAAGGACAGCCCCAGACACTGGCCCAGCATTTATCAGCACCTTCTCAGTACCAAATGCATCCTCCCTCACATCCATCTCACCCCTTGGGGACAGTGGCACCCAGGGATTGCCCTGGCATGGGAATGCATGGACAGACCACGAGCTGCAGGTCTGTGAGCCCTGGCACAACTCTGCTGCAGGCTGGGCTTCTCAGCAGTGCTGGGACACCTGTGCTGGACACTGTGGAGAAGGATTTGGACCCTGGGCTGGCAGCAGCCTCTGGAGCTTTGAGCTCCTGCCAGGACATTGGCACCACCCCGGGAGGGCAGAGCCACACGAGCCCTGCCCTGCACACAGCACACACACACTCTGCAGCTCTGCAGTGCCTCACTGAGCAGCTCCTGGCTGCCTGCTCTGCTCAGGCTCCATGGGACACAGCCTCACCCCAGTGCCCATGAGCTGTGCTGCAGAGAGGTGCTGCACAAGGGTTCCTCAAAGGGCCCCAGCATGGAGCTGGAGATGGAGATGGACTGGGTGATCCTTGGGTCCCTTCCAAGGCAGGGAATTCCGTGACCCCAGGCCCACGTGCTGTGGCAGATGCTGCTCCTCTGCAGCCTGTCAGGGAAGGTTTCACCTCACAGCTCCCGGGAAGGTGCCCTGCTAGGGAAGGGCAGAGCTCCCTACCCCTGGCACCAGGGCAGTGCCTGGATCTGGCAGCCAAGGTGCTGCTGCCCACAGGGACAGTGAGAGCACACAGCAGAGCTGGAGGCCAGCAGAGCCCTGCAAACACGGAATCACTGAATGCATTGGGCTGGAAGGGATCTCAGAGCTCGTCCTGTTCTACCCCCTGCCATGGGCGGGGACACCTTCACAGACCAGGCTGCTCAGATCTCCACAATGAAGCTCTTCGAGGCTGTGAATGCTCTGCACGACCCTCCCCAGGCTGCTCCTGGGATCCCTCACCCTGGGCTCAGCCCTGCTCTGCTGTGCTACCCCAGACTCACCATGTGCTCCATTGGCAGGTGGGGACAGCAGCACACCACAGAGTCCTGGGATGTCCTGAGCTGGAAGTGACCCACAGGGACCATCCAGTCCAACCCCTGCCCTGCCCAGACCACCCCAACAATCCCACCCTGGGCATCCCTGGCAGCGCTGCCCAAACACTCCTGGAGCTCTGGCAGCCTCGGGGCTGTGGCCATTCCCTGGGGAGCCTGGGCAGTGCCAGCACCCTCTGGGGGAAGAACCTTTCCTGATACCCAGCCTGACCCTTCCCTCGGCCCCGGTGGCTGCCCACAGAGAGCAGAGATTGGAGCTGCCCCCGGGAGGAGCTGCAGCCCTTGGAGAGGGATCTGGGGCAGAGCTGCCCCCCAGCACCAGCACAGACCCCGAGCCATGCTCCAGCCAAGCCCGGCACAACCCCCCGAAGCACGGCAGCCACTCCCTGTCAGTGCAACACCTGGGGGCTTCCCAGCACCCCGGGAGCCCTCAGAGAACACCGCAGGCAGCTCTGCCATGTCCCAGGGACTGCAGCACCCTGCTCCTGCTCTGCCTGGTGTCCCAGGGACTGCAGCACCCTGCTCCTGCTCTGCCATGTCCCAGGGACTGCAGCACCCTGCTCCTGCTCTGCCGCTCCGATGCCCGGCAGCAGCAGTGCGCTGGGAGCGGGATGCCCGGGCCGGGCCGGGCCGGGCCGGGCCGGGCCGGGCCGGGCCGGGCCGGGCCGGGCCGGGCGCTGACTCAGGCCGGTGCCCCGGCGGTGGCGCATGGGGAGGTGCCGGGATCGGGCTGGAGCGGGGCCGGGAGCTGCCGGGACAGGCAGCGCTGTGGGAAGCAGGGAGTGCCCGGGCACCGCCGCCCTGGGCGCTGCCAGCCGCGGGGACGGGCAGAGCGGCTGCGGGGCTGGGCTGAGCTCCGGCCCTGCCTCTGCCCGCCGCAAAACTGCCTGGGAGAATGGAGCTGCAGAGAGGGCCTGGGAGAAAGAATGGGTCTGCAGGGCCTGGGAGAATGGAGCTGCAGGGCCTGGGAGAATGGGTCTGCAGGGCCTGGGAGAATGGAGCTGCAGGGCCTGCACAAGGGGAGGTGTTTTCCAAGGCACACACAGCTGACTGCCCCCAGCACTCCTGTCTCCTGTTGCCGTGCATCAGGCAGGCTGGAAGTGTCCCTTGCTGGACCATCACCCAGCCACCCTCTGGCTGTTTCCCAGTGTCCCAGCAGTGCCACCCTACCCAGCTCTCCCCTTTGCCTTCCACACCTCGGTTTTGAGGAGGGAGGTGGTGGGGAGCTGGTTGTCCTCCACTTGTGCCTCACTGATTCTGAGCTTCCCAGAGCCTTATTCCCCAAAATCTGGTGGTGTGTGTTGAAGGAGGGAAAAAAAATCCTCATCCAACAGGAACAAACGGGAGAAACCTGCAGGACACCCCCACATCACCAGGCAAGGAATGGGGAGGACAGGTAGCCCCAGCAAGGGGGACACAAAACATCTCACCAAGGGACGAGATTCACCACCCCGTGCATCATCCTGTCCCCACTGCTCTGGGAAAGGCTTCTTGGATGCTAGATTTTGCTTTATCAACTGCCTGGGACAGGCTATCATAACATAACAGGGAAGCAAACAGCACTCCAGGACCTCTGGTGCCTTGGGCTGGCAGCCAGTCCAAGTTTAGGTCCAGATCCAGATCCAGAACCAGATCCAGACCCACCAGGAACACTGCGGGGGTCTGCAGGTGATGTGTCCCCAGGGACAGCACACGTGTGATGTGCTGCAGATTCCCAGCCAGATGGAAGAGATCTGCCCCTGAAGCACTGAGAAGTGGCCTCCCCACACAGCTTTATCTCAAGGCTTCCTTGCATGCTGTCAGGAACATGCAGAGGAGGCAAACACAGCTGGTCAGAGCCTTTAGCAAGAGCTGGAAATAGGAATGGAAATAGCCTGGAAGGTGAGTTAGTGACTATTCCATGGGCCAAGAGGCTTTGGAAGCAGTGCCCCTGTCCATGGTGTCCCACAGGGGACCAGAGAGGAGCCAGTGGGGCTCTGGTACAGCAAAAGCAGAGCAGAAGTGGCCGTGACGAGGATTGCCCCAAGGTGCAGCAGGAAAAGCAGCTCAGAGCACTGAGGTGTGTCACCAAACCTGCTAAGGACAGTAGCTGAGATGGTGCTGGGAGGCACAGGGACAGTGGTGTGGGGGGTCCTGGGTGGTTGCTGTGACCTCTCACAGCCTGGGCAGCAGGTGGGCAACTCCTGGAGCTGTGCTGAGCCTGTGTCCCCTGGATCAGAGCCTCAGGATGGAGACCACACCTGCACCCCCTCAGCACCTCTTTATTTACAGACACAACAACACTGGGGGGTGGAGATGGGACACTCCTGAGGCCTCTGCCCCCTGGAATCCCCACTCCTGCAGCCAGGGCTCTGTGCAGCCACTGCAGCTCCTGAGGCTTGGCCTCCTCTCTCCCTGAGCCTCTACTTCCTTCGGCTGCCCACCATGGTCTTCCCACGGGCACCCTTGGATCTGCAAGGGAAGAGGAACAGTACGTGCAAAAAGGCATCAGTGACCACACAGGGAGGAGGAGGTGGGTGCTGTCAGTGGTCCTGCAGCCTTTTCCCATTGGAAACTGCCCTGGGGTCTCCACTGGCCCCACGTAAACCTTGGGACCTGAGCCAAAGAGCCTTGGGACTCCCTGGGAGCAAGCTCATGCAGTTGCCAGGTGATTCTTAGGACCCACCATTTCCCTCCCATGTTTCTCCCCCCCAAGAATCGTTCCAAGAAGAATGGACAAGTTGCATCTGTGGCTGCAGAGGGATAAAAGCAGCTGCAGGATCCTTCAGGAACCAGCCCACGGCTCGCCCTAACCAGCACAGGGGAGCACAGAGGAGGAGGTTTGGGTGGGCAGTGAAGGGTATTTCTGGCTGCCAGTCCTTGGGACTGCCTCATCCCTGAGCCCTGCTTCTGCCCTGGGGTCCTGGTGTCCCTGCCACACACATGGAGTGGGACACACACAGTGCTCCTGTGCAGAGACACACACACACAAACACACACAAACACACACAAACACACACAGTGCTCCTGTGCAGGGACACACACACAGCACCTGTGCAAGGGACACACACACACACAAACACACACACACACAAACACACACACACACAGCACCTGTGCAAGGGACACACACACACAAACACACACACACAGCACCTGTGCAAGGGACACACACACATACAAACACACAGCTCCTGTGCAGGGACACACACACAGAGCACAGAGCTCCTGTGCAGGGGGACACACACAGCCCTCAGAAGTGCCTGTACTCACCCTTTGCTGCAGGATCACGCCATGGTGGGGCAGGAGAGAAGAGAGACCTGGTGTAAGTTGGGTGGGAGCTGCTGCCCCTGACACATGGGGCGGGCTGAGCACCTCCCACATGAGGGGGAAGTGGGATGGGGATGTGAGAGCACTGGGGTGCTCCTGGGAATAGGGGTCAAACAGCCTCTCCTACCCTCCTACAAAGGGTTCCCCAGCTATGTGCAGGGACCATGGGCACAGGGATAGGTTCCTCTGGCCTTGTGGGCCTGCACAAATCCCACAGCCCATGGGACTTCTCCTGCTAGACAAGCTGGGATCTCCAGCAGCTTCCTGAGATGCTGGGCAGGGCCCCTGCAGGGAGGGGGTGGCTGGAGACTGAAGGACCCCAGAGGGCACAAAGCTTCCCATGCAGAGGTGGGTTCTCCCTGGGGTCCATCCCCTGCCAAGGTCTCTGGGGAGGGGGGAGCTGGTGGCAGTGGGACCATGGAGGTCCATCAGGGGCAGAAGGGCAGGGACTGAGATCCTGGGACAGACCTGCAGGTTCAGGAATGCTGGGCACCAGCAAGACCAGAGGCAGGAGGGGGAAAGGGAGGAGGTGGTTTAGCAAGAGAGATCCATAGGGAGGGAGCTGGAGAACAGGGAGCTGGAAGGACAGGAGATGGAGGAGGGATGGGCAGCCACTTACACTTTCTGGTGGTCACTGATGCGGTTTCGAAGAACATTGATCTGCAAGAAAAAATGGTGAATGGTGAGGTCTGGCAAGAAAAAGCTGCAGGTGGATGGTGAGGTCTGACAAGAAACCCCAGGCTGGGGACAAGGGCTGGCTGAAGATGCATCACTGCTCTCTTTTTCCCAGCAGTTTTTCTGTGGGGTTTAGAATCCCAGAATCCCAAGATGGTTGGGGTTGGAAGGAACCTTCAAGCCCATCTCATTCTATCTCCTGCCATGGGCAGGAGCACCTTCCACTGTCCCAGGTTGCTCAGGGCTCCATCCTGCCTGGCCTGTGATGCATTTGCCCTGTGGTGTTGCCAGGTACACGTCCCCAGGAGCTGGGAGATCACTTGCACACCCCAGCTCATCCCCTGGCTGGGAAGCAGAAGGAGCAGTCAGGAACACAGAGGGTGGACAAATCACAGAGGCCCTGGGGCTCACCTCGTATTTCTGCCGCTTGAACTTCTCCTGCAGGTCAAATTTCTCAGCCTCCAGGTCATGGATGTTCTGCCACAGCTCCTTGGCCTTGTCCCTGCAGGAAGAGCCAGCTGAGGACAGTGCAGGGAAGGGCTGTGCTCCCAGGGAGCTCAGCAGGGATGGGGCACTGATGCCAACCCCTCTTCTGCTCCCGGGGATGGGGCTCAGGAGGCTCCCAGACAGGGGTGTGTTATCCAGGCAGTGAGTTCAGGACAAGAGCCACGGGGGAGGTCAGTACATATGGGGACACACATCCCACCCGTGTGACCCTGGCTCCCCAGGACACCCCTGTGTCACCTGTGTGACCCTGGCTCCTCAGGACACCCCTGTCCCACCTGTGTGACCCTGGCTCCCCAGGACACCCCTGTCCCACCTGTGTGACCCTGGCTCCTCAGGACACCCCTGTGTCACCCGTGTGACCCTGGCTCCCCAGGACACCCCTGTCCCACCTGTGTGACCCTGGCTCCTCAGGACACCCCTGTCCCACCTGTGTGACCCTGGCTCCCCAGGACACCCCTGTCCCACCTGTGTGACCCTGGCTCCCCAGGACACCCCTGTGTCACCCGTGTGACCCTGGCTCCCTCTCATGGCTGGTGCCATCAGTTGCAGCCCGGCCATGGTGGCCCTGCACAGCCTTGGAGCCCGTGTCCCCCACGGCGTGTCACAGCCCATCCCCAGCTGTGCCATCCCCCTCAGCTGGAAGCCCCAGAGAGCTGTCCCCAGTCCAGGATCCTGCCCAGGAGCTGTCCCCAGCCCGGGATCCTGCCCAGGAGCTGTCCCCAGCCTGGGATCCTGCCCTGGCCATCCCTCCTGCCAGCCTGTGCTCACCTGAGCTTGTCCTCACTGAGGTGGTCGATGTTCAGGGGCTTCCGTCGCTCACTGAGGATCTTCTTCTTCTTTTCCCGCTCTGTTTGCTTCTTCCCACCCTTTTTCTCTGACTGAGGAAACCATCAATCCACTGGAGAGAAGGAAGTCTGCCCAGCCTTTGCTCTCCCCCATCCCCAGTTTTGCACCCAACACCCTCAGCTTTTGGGACTCCATGAGGTCCTTGAGGACATTTTGGCAACAGTGGACAAGACACCTTTTCCTTGTCCCCATCCCTGTCCCTGAGGCAAGGCTGGAGCTGCACATCTGCAGAGCAGAGCTGAGCTCGGGGCAGGTCCGAGCTCACTCTGGCCCTGTAACACTGACCCAAGCTCAGTTCCCTGTCCCTCCTGCCTCTAAACCCCCAGTGTCACATGGATGAGGCCAGCCCATGGCCAAGCCCTCCCCAGGAGCAACAGCGGCTCCATCACAGCCCCTTGGAGAGGGTCCCACCTTCTGCATGTATCCCCCAAAGTGCAGCATGTTGGAGAACGCCTTCTTCTTCCGCGCCTCCTCCTCCGCCCTCTTCCGCGCCTCCTCTTCCTCCTTGCGAGCTCTTTCCTCCTGCCAGGGTCAGAAGGCGGTCAGCAGTGGATGGATGGACAGACAGCTCGTGTCCCCAGGCCCTTGCCAGGCCGCATTTCCAGAGGGCACTCACGGCCATGCGGGCCTGGCGCTCCTTCTCCCGCTCGCTGCGGATCCGCTGCTGCTCCGCCCGCTCCGCTCGCCGCTGCTCCTGCACAGGGAGGGGACCTGGGCTTGGACACCGCCAGGAATCTGCATCCTCTCTGCTCCCGGGGACAGACCCCGGACCCCGAGAGCCCTGAGAGCCCCAGGGGAGCCCGGGGACAGTGACCCGGGGAGAGGTGCATCGGCACCGGGCACTGCAGCACCACCGGGGGCACCCCAGCGAGCGGGGACAGGAAAGGAATGCCTGAAGCTGTGCCAGGGGAGGGGCAGGCTGGAGATCAGGAAAGGTTCTTCCCCAGAGGGTGCTGGCACTGCCCAGGCTCCCCAGGGAATGGGCACAGCCCCGAGGCTGCCAGAGCTCCAGGAGTGTTTGGGCAGCGCTGCCAGGGATGCCCAGGGTGGGATTGTTGGGGTGGTCTGGGCAGGGCCAGGGGTTGGACTGAGTGATCCCTGTGGGTCCCTTCCAGCTCAGGGAATTTTATGGTGTGCAGGCACTGGGGCTCATAGAAATCTGGTTCAACCCTCAGGCTCTCTCCTGCAGGGCCAGGGGTGTCCCAGGTCTGCCAGGACTGTGGGGAGGGGACAGTGGCTGAGTGCCCACAGGGACCAGGTGGCAACAGCCAGAGAGGGGAAGGCTGAACACGTACAATCCTGTCCTTGAGAGACAGCAGCTCCTCTTCCTCCTTCTTCCTGCTCTCAAAGTGGGCTTCGATGAGGGCCTGCAGCTCGTTCAGGTCCTTCTCCATGCGCTTGCGGTGAATGTCCTGCAGCAGGCACAGACAGCCAGGGCCTCCAGCAGCTGCCAGACACTGAGGGGGAGCAGAGGGAGGGCAGCACCCCCAGGGGTGGGAACTGGGCCATAACTTACATCAAAATCCAGTCTCTCGCCATCTGGGATCTTGGGGGGCACCAGGTTGGGCATGAAGACCCTGCAGTGGAGGGGGAGCTGGAGCACGAGGGGGCTGCAGCAGGTCTGGGACAGCAGGTGCCCTCCACCCATCCCACCCCCTGAGCCCCCCGGGGTGCAGAGTGGCCACAGCTGGAGGAGTGCAATGCATCCTGCTGGAGGTGCCAGCTGGGCAGCCCCAGAGGAAGACCTGTGGCATTCCCTGGAAACGCTCCCAGGTGCCTGCATGGCTGGAATAACCCTGCAAGCTGCAGACAGCGTGGCCAGGGCCCTTTGCCAGCCCCCTGCTCCCCCCAAAGGGCACTGTGTGCTCTGTGTGACCTGGCACAGGCGGCTGGAGCCTTCCTCCTGTGGGGCTTGAGGGAGGGCAGGAGATGCCCAGCAGGGGCACAAAGGGATGAAGGGATGATGATGGCTGAGGGCAGATCTGCCTCCCACACTGCAGAATCCCAGGGGCCCAGGAGGACCCCCCAGGTTTCCTGCAATGGTTCACAGTCCTGCTCCCTCCGGGTCAGTCCCTGGCACTCCTGGAAACATGTGCCTCCTGCCAGCCATAGCCTGGGGTCTGTGTCCCACACTGGGGTGCTCACACACACACACACACACACACACACACACACACTTCTGTCACCTGCAGGGTCACAGGGCCGCTGAGCTTCTCCCAGGGAATGTACAAAATGCTTCAGAACTGCCTAAAGACCTCGTTCTCAGGGTCCCCTTCATGGGCTGCGTTTTGCTGTCGTTTCTCTCCCTTTTCTCTCCATACCCCAGTCCCACCCTGCCCTGGAGGCTCCCTGTGCCCTGTCCTTTATGGACCAGGCTCTGTCACATGGAGCCTCTGCCCTGGCATGGCTCAGACCTTGCCCCAGGGAAACCCTGCCACACTTACTTGGGTTTTGGCTTCGATTCACCTGCAGGTCCCAGGAGCAGCACAGAAAGACAAGGTCAGTGTCACCGAGGGGTTTCCTGTCACACCTTGAGCCAAGCCCGCCCTGAGCCGAGCCCTCCCTCTCTCCACAGCAGCGGGGGCTTCCCAGGGACCCCCCCAGCAGTGAGGTGCCAGCCCTGTGCCACACGGTGTGCCCAGGCACAGCTGGTGCTGCTGGCTGAGCAGGGAACCCCCAGGCAGGAGGAGGAACGAGGGTGATACTTCACCTTCCCCGGGCTCCTGCTCCCGCTCTCCCTCTCCACCTGTGGAAAACACGATGCTTTGTGTCCCCGTGGCCAGTCCTGCCCAGGGACACTCTGGGGGGCTGTCCCCCTCTTTCCCATGCTTGTCCCCACTGCAAACCCCGGCTGCATCCCTGCAGGATGAATGGGGGGAGAGCAGCCCCTGAGGGACACCCCTCACTCACAGGGTGGCCAGGAGAGCCCCAGGTGCTCTCAGGAGGAATCCAGACAAGTTTTGCAGAAGCTCAGGCTGGAAAAGCAGCAGTGCCTCTCTCTCCTCCTCTATTTTGGGTGAATTTCTGCCAGAGGCAGCACAAATCCATCCCTCCTGCTGCCCCTGTCCTGCTGGGGGATGTGGCCAGGGTAGCTCTGCCCCTTTTACCACAAATTGTCCCTTTGGTAGTGAATAAATTCAGCACCAAAACCTCATTACAAGGGCCCAGTGTCTCAGGGGAATGGGATCAGGACTGAAATGGCCAAACCCATCTCTCCTCTGCTCCTGCTTTACCTTCTCCTGCTGCTTTCGTTTCATCTTCTTGTTCTGTTTAAAAGCAATGGGAGACATGAGCACCCCTGGGTGAGGGCAGCCACACCCTCAGCACAGAGGGGTCCCAGCACCCTGACTTGGGGTCACAGCCAGGATCTGAGCCTGCCCCAGCAGAGGGGACAGCACAGGGTCATACACCATGCCCCAAAGCCACCTCGTGAAACCCAGTGCTCTTTTGATGATCAGACACATCAGAGCTCAAGCCCAGCTCTGGAAACCCCCTCTAAGGCAATGGACCCCTTGGTGAGCCAGGCTGAGCCCATTTTTGGCATTATTTTAGAGGGCTGGACACAGCCACCAGCAGCAAGAACCATTTGTATTTCAGGTATTTCATCACCATTTCATGTTTGTAGGGCCCAGACAGAGCAGGGAAGGGCATCTCAGTTTGACACCCCCTTACTGCACACCAGATCTGGGGGAGCTGCCCCTCTGTGCTGATGTCCCCCTGTCACAGCCCCGCTGGCACATCCCAGTCCCCAGCTGGCAGCCCTGGAGCAGAGCATGGCCCAGCCAAGCCAAGGAGCTCCTGGCATAGCCCCCACTCACCTTCTGCCTTGGCTTCTGTGGTCTCCTCCTCCACCTCCTCTACCTGCTCCTCCTGACCTGTGCAGGAAGGGCAGAGTGAGCGCAGCAGTGTTCCTGCAGCTCCTCACATCTATCCCTGCAGCTCCTTACACTTATTCCTGCAGCTCCTCACATCTATCCCTGCAGCTCCTCACATCTATCCCTGCAGCTCCTTACACTTATCCCTGCAGCTCCTCACACCTATCCCTGCAGCTCCTCACGTTTATCCCTGCAGCTCCTTACACTTATCCCTGCAGCTCCTCACCCTTATCCCTGCAGCTCCTCACCCTTATCCCTGCAGCTCCTCACATCTATCCCTGCAGCTCCTCACTCTTATCCCTGCAGCTCCTCACATTTATCCCTGCAACTCCTCACACTTATCTCTGCAGCTCCTCACGTTTATCCCTGCAGGTCCTCACGTTTATCCCTGCAGCTCCTGACATTTATCCCTGCAGCTCCTCACGTCTATCCCTGCAGCTCCTCACGTCTATCCCTGCTTTGGGACAGAGCCCAGAGGGACCTGGGCAGCTGCAGTGGCTCGGGAGCAAAGGGCTCCTTTCTAACCTTACCCCAGGGCTCCCTGCGCTCCTCAGGGCAAAACCCCCTAAAATTAGTGAAATGCAAGGATTTATCGCTACCTCCTGCCTTGTCCCTCATCCCCTCTCACGCTGCCAATCCCTCACAGCCCAGGAAGGAAGGAGGGATCCCCATGGCTCTGCTCTAGCAGGGAGCTCCAGGGGTGGCTGAGGACGCTTTGTGACACTGCTGGAGCCTTTTTCCACTGGAGGGAGCAGCGTCCCCACGGGATTCCCCCAGCGGAGCCAGAGCGATGCTGTGCCCTGGGAACACCCGCGGGGCCACAGCCACACAGAGGGGAAGGAAAAGATGACAGCAAAGACAGCAAACCACAGCTGGCAGATATAAGAGACAAGGCACAGACAGAGGATGGACACACAGCACAGCAGGGCACGGGAGGAGTGCAGGAAGAAGAGAGAGAAGTGGAAGAATGAAAGAAAACCATTCCCCAACCAGGGAGAGTCAGAACACATGGACCCAGGAGTTCTCCCGAGAGCAGAGAGAGGAAATAATGAAAGGTGCAATAACTACCGTCGTCTTCCTCTATCCATTCTTCCTCTTCTGAGCCAGGGAGGAGGGAAGGAATAAGCACAGGGATTAGTTGGGTGCCACAGAGGTTGGGCGTGCGTGAGATGAGGACTGGAGCACAGCAGGAGCTTCCCCCTGCACCTCTCTTTGCTTTTACACTTGGAGTGTTTTGTCTGGCAGAGCCCTAGAGCAGCCAGAGGCCCAGCCCAGCCCAGCCCAGCCTAACTCGGCCCGGGTCAGCTCAGCCCAGCCCGGCCCAGCTCGGCCCAGCTCAGCCCAGCCTGGCCCGGCCCAGCTCAGCCCGGCCCAGCCCGGCCCAGCTCAGCCTCAGCCCAGCCCAGCTCAGCCTCAGCCCAGCCCAGCCCAGCCCGGCCCAGCTCAGCCTCAGCCCAGCCCAGCCCAGCCCGGCCCAGCTCAGCCTCAGCCCAGCCCAGCCCAGCCTGGCCCAGCTCAGCCTCAGCCCAGCCCAGCCCAGCCCAGCCCGGCCCAGCTCAGCCTCAGCCCAGCCTAACTCGGCCCAGGTCAGCTCAGCCCAGCTCGGCCCAGCCTGGCCCAGCCCAACCCGGCCCAGCACAGCCCAGCCTGGCCCGGCCCAGCCCGGCCCAGCACAGCCCAGCCCGGCCCAGCCCGGCCCAGCCCAGCTCAGCCCAGCCCAGCCCAGCTCAGCCCAGCTCAGCCCAGCCCAGGTCCTTTGTCCCCATCAGGCTGAGGCAGTGGCAGTTTGAGCTTGGCAAGGCTGTCACACGCTCAGCAGAGGCTCCAGCTCCCGCTGGGATATTGGGATCACCCCTCAGTCCACACCCATGTCCAGCATTGCCAGCCCTGGTTTGAGGCACTGACAAAAGAGATCCTGAGAAAATTCAGACTGGTTTTGATCCTACTGATGATGTTTCAGGTGCAGGCATCTCAAACATGGTCACATCGGCCTTTCCTGGACATGATTTGCCCAGTGCAGCCCAGGAGCTGACCCCCAACCCCCCAGCAAAACACTGAAGCATTTGGCTCTTGGTCCTTGCAGGTGCAGCTCCTACCTTCCTCCACGCACTCCTCTTCAGTGAGCACACAGGGCACAGACAGAGAGAAGGGAAAGAAGCCTCAGGTTATTGGAGTTTCGCTGATCAGTTTTTGGCCTCAGGGCAGCTGCAGGTGCTCCATGTCCTCTTACCTTCCTGCTCCCTGCAAAGCACAACAGGAATTTAGAGTCACATTGAGCTGCTGGAACGGGGCCATCAGTGAGGCTGAGGTGAGTTTGGGACTCCTCAAGGCTGGCTCCCCTGTCTCACAGCACAGGCCATGGCTGCTGGGGGGCTGGCAGGTGGCACTGGGGACAGGGACAAGGCCCAGGTCACCCTGCAGGCTCTGGAGAGCAGGGCCTGAAGGTCCGGACTGGCACTTCGACAGTGGTCAGGGCACCCCCCCCATTTTGCAGCATGAGAAGATGAATGACCTTGGCCTGTAATCCCAGAAATGGGAATCTCACATCCCACCTTTGCCCCCAAGTCCTTCCCTGGCCATGGGGGAGATGCCTGTCCCAGGGGGACAGATTGGTGACACACACGAGTCTGGTGTGGCACTGAAACACCAGAGGGTTCAGGTCCCTTCTCTGCTGGTGGATGAGCAGTGGGAGCTGTGTTGGAGCTCACCCCTATAACCCAGCCCCATCTCTCCAGGATGTGCCTCCGTCAGCAGAAGCTGCTCTCAAATCTGGGCCTTGGAGAGTGATGCTCTGCATGGGGCAGCAGGACCCCAGCAGCAGCAGATTGGATTTCCCATTTCCCCACTGACTCTTGGGTTTTCCCATCTCTGTCCCACACATTGAGACTGCAGCATTTTTAATTCAGCAATCATCCTTGTCCTGCCTGTGGCTGTGGATACAACTCCCCACACAAACTGCCCCTGCTGGGGTCAGGCACACAAACTGTGTGTGTGAATTCAGAAATCAAACCTTGTCCTGCCCATGGCTGTGGATACAAGCTGCCCCTGCTGGGGTCAGGCACACAAACTGTGTGTGTGAATTCAGAAATCAAATCTTGTCCTGCCCATGGCTGTGGATACAAACTGCCCCTGCTGGGGTCAGGCACACAAACTGTGTGTGTGAATTCAGAAATCAAATCTTGTCCTGCCCATGGCTGTGGATACAAACTGCCCCTGCTGGGGTCAGGCACACAAACTGTGTGTGTGAATTCAGAAATCAAACCTTGACCTGCCCATAGCTGTGGATACAAACTGCCCCTGCTGGGGTCAGGCACTGCCAAGGCAGAGGGGCACAGGCTGGGGGTCCATGGTGGGTGCTGGGTAACAATGAGAGCCCCTCCAAGCAATGCTGCAGTGGGAAAATGGGAACAGGGAGAAAGAAAGGGGGTTAAAACCACCCCACTTACTGCTCATACTCCTCGGTGACCTCCTCCGTGTCTGACATCCCTGGTTCTCTGGCAGAGTTGGAGGCAGATTGGAAAAAGTGAGGGTTAGAAGTGAGATAAGGGCTAGCACAGCCTGTCCCTCAGCACCAGGACATGGGCACAGCGATGCTGCCTCTCTCCAAAGCACTTGGAGCTCCCAGCTGTCCCCAGCCAGGCTGTGACACTGTTATCTCAGCAGAGATAAGGTGCCTGCCCCCCCATCCCAGGATCACAGCATGCCCCAAACAGGAGGCAGGACGTTGGACACAACCTCTGTGGCACTGATAACTCTGTCAGGAGCATGTCCAGGGCACTCAGCCCCCTGGCCCAGCCCTCTCAGGGGCTGTGTTTGCTCAGGGGACAGGAAAATCACCCCATTGCAGTGTTCAGCTTGTTTTGCTTCCTGACTATTCTTAGCCCAGGGATGACCCCTTCTCTCAGATTTCCAGCCCTGCACCAGGCACAGCACAAGCCCTCAGCAAACCCTCCCAGCCCAGCTCTCCAAGTGCAGAACTGCTGAGGAAGGGGCAGCCTGGCCTCTGCAGGTACATTTCCCCCCTGTTAACTAAAAGGAGTAATTTACAGCCTGGTTTAGTAACTTAGCCCTCGTTTTAGGGCTAAAACCTCTGCAGAAACAGCTTTTCATCTTCCCAGCACATCTTCTCCCTCCCAGCTGTGCTCAGGAGGACTTTGCTCATCATGTCACCTCATCTGACCTTCACCCAGCACTGCACTGGGACATCTGCATCCACCAGCCCCATCCCTGGACATCCTGGAGCAGCCCAGAGCCCCAGCCCAGCCCAGAGCCCCAGCCCAGCCCAGAGCCCAAGCCCAGCCCAGCCCAGAGCCCCAGCCCAGCCCAGAGCCCAAGCCCAAGCCCAGCCCAGCCCAGCCCAGCCCTGTCCCCTGCTTGTGCCAGCCCTCAGCAGGGCTGAAATGCCACAGGACGATGCAAAGCAGCTCAGAAATAACTTCCATGTGCTGAAGCACCTGTTCCCAGAGCAGCAAGGCTTCCCTGCTCCTGCTACCCAGAGTCTGGGAACAACTGCTCCTGCCTGCATCTGTCAGGCATTCATTACCCGGGATGGGGAGGCCCAGCCTCAGGAGTGCTTATTCAGGATGCTGGATGCAGCGCTGGAATGCTCAGGCATGGGAAAGGGGCATTCCAGGAGGGGAACCTTGGCATAACCACGGCTCCAGAGGGTCTCTAATCTCACTGTTCCTCACAAGGTGCTTTTTGGAGACAAATAAAGGCAGAGCTTTTTGGAGACACTCACAAGGTGCTTTTTGGAGACAAATAAAGCCCCCTCTGCCTTGGGGTCACTGCCTGCTCCTGCCACCACTGTTCCCCTTCCTCTGATGGGTCTGGGGCTTGGGTCTAAGCCCCTCTCCAGCACCATCCCCAGGATCCCTGCTTCCCCACCAACAGCAATTCCCACTTTTCCCCCAGGCTCAGCATGGTACTGATGCCCCAAGTTTGGCCAAATCTGAGCAGCCAAAGCTCCACACAGTCATTTCATGGCATGGGAGAAGAGGGTTCCCAGTCTCCAAGCCTCTTCCTACATTCTCACTGCCCTCCTCCCTCAGACACCATTAGATCCCAGAGCTGAGGGAACAACAACAAGTCCAGCACTGTTAAGAGGGTACACAAAAGAGAAAGTGGCTCAAGGAAATATTTGTGCATCCTCTGCACAGAAACACATAAACCTTTTCATTAAAGCTTGGAAATCTTGATTTGATAGAATTAGGAGAGCCCAGCAGACATTACAGAGATAAAGAGGAAACATTGCACTGACTACAAAAAAATCTCCCACAATTTGCTGTGTATTAAACAATCCAGATATTCCTCATACTCCTCAAAATCCCCCTATCCTTTAGCTCAGGGCTGGCTGCTCACAGCTCTGGGGCTGAGTTAATCCTCCACAGTTCTGAGTCTCTGCTTTCCTCCAGGCTGCCCAGACATGGAGCTCTCCTTTCCCATCGTGGCTCCAGGAATGGGTCATGTCCCTGCTCCAGTCCTGCTTGGCAGGGTCAGACCAGGCACAGGAGCATCCCATCCCATCTCATCCCATCCCATCCCATCCCATCCCATCCCATCCCATCCCATCCCATCCCATCCCATCCCATCCCATCCCATCCCATCCCATCCCATCCCATCCCATCCCATCCCATCCCATCCCACCCCTGGGCTGCCAGAGAGCCAGGGCCAGGCTACCCATCGGCATCACATCCCTGCTGTCACTGCAGACACAGAAATGGGATCCGGGAGATTTCCTGGGACCCAGGGCAGCCAAAACCCATCTGAGCCACCTGGGCACCCACCAGGGTGGTGCAAAAGAGAAATGGTGAACACAACCCGCTGGAGAGGCTGCAGATGGTTTATGCATGGGAATGCCTGCTTGGCATAAAACCCCCGGGAGAGCGGCCGGGACACCCCGAGCCCGGAGCCGATCCCAGAGCTGAGCCCGGAGCCCAGCCCGGAGCCGATTTCCCCGGAGGGGCGGGCGGGGACACCCCGATCCCAGAGCCCATCCCGGAGCCCATCCCGGAGCCGATTCCCCCAAGGGGCGGGGAGGGATGCCCCGATTCCGGACCCTATCCCGAGCCCATCCCGGAGCCCATCCTGGACCCCATCCTGGAGCCCATCCCGGAGCCCATCCCGAGCCCATCCCGGAGCCCATCCCTGGCCGATCCCCCCGAGGGGCGGGCGCCGCCCCAGCCGTACCTGAGCGCCGGAGCTGCGGGAGCGCGGGGAGCCGCGGGGTCTGGGCAAGGCTCTTTGGGCCAGGAGGCTTTAAGGGGGCTGCAGCGCCCACCCCGGGGCGGGCAGCGCCGCAGGAATGTGCCCGGCGCCCAGCGAGGAATGCAACACTTGTGAGCTGCTATTTCGGCAGCCGCGGCCCTGGCCCCCTCCGCCGCTCCCCCTTCCCCCCCAGGAGCCCATATAAGCCCAAGCTATTGTGTGGCCTCAGAGATTTGCTATTTTAAACCCTCCGGAGCGAGATACGTGAGTGCCCGAGGGGCTGACACAAGCCAGCCCAGCTGTCACCGCGGCCGGGACGCTGATAAGGCAGCGCTGTCACCAGCGCGGGAGCAGCCCCTGCCCGGCAGCTCCGGCCCGGCTCCCGCAGCCGCTGCTCCCACCGCGGGATGCTGCAATGAGAAAGGAAGAGTCTGTTTTTAACCCCCCAGGACATACTGGATTCGGGGTTTTCCTTATTTTCCCCTTGTTGGGAGAAGGGAAGGGAACAGTTTCCAGTCCCAGACCAGCAGTAGGTGACCAGGAGTGTTTTAGAAAGAGCAACTTTTATTAGAAAACAAAAAAAGCACAGAGTCCTTTCCCAAGCCCAACAAGCAGGATCAGCTCCAGGGGCAGCAGCAGATTCCCACACTGAATTTGTCACCACAGTGGTTGTTCAAGGCACAACCCAAACCCAAAGAATGGCCCCAATGAGAGAATTTGAGCCCTTTGCCCATGGCACCCTAAAGGCACCCTAAAGGCCTCGAGAGAGCATCCCCCATCCCTGCTGGGTGGGCTCAGCAGCCACAGGTATGCAGGATCAGGGGCTGCCCAGCAAAGGGCTCAGGAGGAAAGGCAAGAGGGAAATGGGGCCCAGCCCGGGGCACTCAGCTCCATGAAATCCCCCAACAGGACTGTGGCCACGGCCAGGGCCAGCTCAGCTCCCCTGGCCCACTGGATGAAGGGTCACTGCCTGCAGGGGCAGGGGATGGCAGGAACAAGGACAAGTCTCTGGTTCAGCTGTGTGTGGAGGAAACACCAGGGCCAAGTCCCCCGTTCTTCCATGGGACATCTCTGAGCACTCGTGTGGCTTCATGAACCTCTGGTTGTGCCCCTGTGGCAGGGACAGCCTGGCAGGGGTGACAGCTGCCTGCCCCACCTGCCCCAGGCAGCAGGGACAGACATGGTCCATGGATGTGCAGCTGGAACTCCCTCAGCCAGGCAGGTTCTGACATCCTCCAGCTGCCAGGGAGCCCTGTGGGGGATCCCCTTTGCCAGGGCAGCTCTGGGGCACAGGCAGAGATCAGGAACAGAACAGCAAAATATGTTGGGCAAACAAGGCAGGAGTTTGCCTTCAGCATCTGTGGGGAGCCTGCAGGCCTGGACACCCACAGACAGGCAGTGACTGGGGACTGGGGGCACAGGGAGACTCTTCCAGGCTTCTTCCTTCCCATCCCACAAGCAGAGGACCCCATGCCCTGGGCTGCACCCACACATGGCACAGGGGACTCATGGCAGTGGCTGCTGGATGGTTGGGTAGGGCTGGGCTTTGATCTTTGGTTGGAGCAAACCAGTTTTTCCCAGATGGTCTGAGAGCACAGGTGGTATTACTGCAACTGCAAAAGAAAGTGGGAACCACTGAGGCTGTGCCTGAGGCTGCAACCCCACCAGCTGCAGCTGCTTTAACCAGGACAGTGGCTGTCCCCACCTGGGGATGGGGCAGGCAGGGATCCCCTAAATCCCATGACAGGCCACTTCCCTTCTCCTCCCAGACCAGAGTCCTCCTCTCCCTTACAGATGCCTCCAGTTGTCCCCTCCTGCTGACTTCCCAAAGTCACAGGGTCCTGATTCCCCCACGTCACCTCTCCCTGTACATCCTGGCTCTGTCTCAGATGATGCACCAGGTTCCAGAGCAGCTCCATAATTACCTTGGTGTCTCCAGAGGTGTCCCCAGGCTGCTTTATCCAGACATCTCGCTTTGCCAGGCTGTTGATTCTCCGGATTTCCTGCAAACAGGAGAGTCAGAAGTGACAGGATAAAGTTTTCCCCAAGTGTCGTGTGCAGCATTGCCTCGGTCTGACTGTACCCAGACCTTGAAGCACACACTGTCCAGGTAAAACCAGCCAGCTTTGGGATCCTGCACCTGGGAGACCCTCAGAGCCAAGTGCAGCTCCAGCCACAGAAGTGGAGCAGGTGCTATTGAAGAACTGACCAAGGAGCTGCAGGCTTTCCCCAGGAGTCGCCCCAGGAGCAAACCCTTTGCTGGCACAGCTGCCTGGCACAGACACATCTGGGCAGTGCCCATCTCCCAGCCCAGCCTGGATCCACCTTCCCTGGCTGCAGGGCTGGGCTGCAGCTGCCCCTCCTGGGCTGCCACGAGCAGTGGCCAAAGCCCTCTCTGCTGTGAGCAGTGAGACCTGCCCAGGACCTGCTGAGCCCCTCCTTTCCAGGAACACCCAACAACCAAAGGCTCTCTTGTCCCTCTCCTGCACATGGCCAAGTGGTGACCTCTGAGTCCCCTTGGCCGGGCACCTGGCACCCACAGCCACGAGACCCCCTCATTTTTGGGGGGTGGTTTCAAGTGGGGGTGCAAATGACTCCAGACCCCTCATGCACCAGGACCTCTCCAAGCCCCTCAGAGCTGAAGGGCTGAGCACACAGCTCCTCTCCCCCTGGCCCCAGGCAGAGCTGCTCATCCAGGCAGAGGAGATGGGATGGCAGAGATGGGATCGTGCTGGGGGCCAGAGTCACGTATCCCTGCATGTCCTGGGACATGCACCCAGCTGGCTCCTCTCCCTCCTCAACCTCAAGGGCTGGAATCAGCTGTCCTGGGAATTTTGGGCTCACAGTCAGGACACAGCAACAAGGAGAGCCCTGATATTTCATTGTGGTGGTCCTGCAGCTCTGACACCTCCAAATCTGGCTAAACTGCTCCCAAACCCTTTAACAGGTTCAGCCAAGGGTTCATCCAACCTTTCAACCCTGCCCCAAGGTGCAGCACCATGTCCTGTGAGCCTGCGGCTCTCAGGGCTCTCACTTGAGGTTGACACAAGCTGCTACCTTGCCGTTTTCCTCCTTGGCAGGCTCCTGAGCTCGGCTGATCCACAGATTAATGCGGGATGTCACCGACCCTGGGATCTTCAGGCTGTCCTGTGGCACAGAGAGGGACACCAGGGTTGCAGCAGCGGCTCTCCGTGCACGAATGTAACCCGGCCCAGTCCCCAGGGCACGGGGAGCCTGAGCGGAGCTGCGGCACAGAGCCCAGCCCACACACTGGCTCCATCCCAGCTCCTCCAATTCCAGCGCTCGGCAGGAACCCACACAGCGCCGGGGCAGCCCTGGCATCAGCTCCCCCGCTCCCTGCCGCAGCCTGCCAGGCTGAGCCCGGTATCGGGAGAGGGGAGGATCTGCCCCAGCGGCGGTGCCTGCCCAGCACAGAGCGCTCAGGTCCCCGCTCCTGCCTCACCTTCCTGGGAGCCGCCGGCTCCGCCTTGCCGGGAGCGCTTCTCTCGAAGAAGTTGCGCTTGCTCGCCACCCCCTCCGAGGAGAGCAGGCGACTCTTCTGGGCAGGCACGGAGGATTTCACCCCCTCCGAGCGCTGCGAGAGAGAGGGGCGTCAGCAGGGCTGTGCTGCATCCCGGGGTGAAAAGAAAAGCCCAGCTTCTGGCTCGTACCCTGAGCCCCTTGGGGTCCGGTCCCCTGCTGCCCATCACCAGCTCACAGCTTTGTGCACTGCTTCCCTCAAGGGACCACAGCATCCCCAGACCCTCTCCACAGGACATCTCCTCCCTGCAGGGCCATGCAGCATCCCCAGACCCCCTCCAAGGGTCTCTGCTCCTAAAACCTTGAGGCCAATCCCTTTTCCTGCCTTTCCATCTCCTTCTTCCCCATCAGCTCTGTACTTGGTGCAGCTCAGGGCCTCCCCTCCCCACTGGGCTCCAGGCCACCCCTCTCTGTCCCCCACCCCCTCCTGGCTCTGCTGAGTGCCCTCAGTACCTGCACAGCTGAGTTGTACTTTTCCAGCTTCTCCCCAATGGTGCTGCTGCTGCCTGGGACCCTCAGACTTGCACTGGGGAACAAGAGGGAAGAGTTGAAACCAGCCCCCCCAGGATGTCCTGGGATCAGCCCATGGTCCTGGGGAGCTGCACCTGGCAGGAGAAGGCCCCATCCCACCCAGCACTCCTGCATCTGTCTGCCAGGTGCACCAAGCAGCCCAGCCCCTGCTGGTGACTGAGCTCTCTGGGTGTCACTGCCTTTCCAGGGCCACACTGAGCACCAAAATACCTCAGAGCTCCTCAGCCTGCCCTGGGTTCAGCTCTACCAGCCCTGGACTGCATCACCCCCAATGTCAGTGTGGCTCTGCATACACCTGCCCACAGAGGGGTGGAGGATCCCCTGATCTGGTCACCAAAGCCAGGTCAGGCTGCTCATGGAGCTGTTTTGATGTCCCCATGGATGGCACCTGTGCACACAAGCACCAACATGGAGCTACATGACCCCAGAGAAGTGGGGGCTTGCTGGGGGATATTGGAGCAACCTGGGACAGTGGAGGATGTTCCTGCCCATGGCAGGGGTTGGAATGAGATCTGCAGGGTCCCTTGGAACCCAAACCATTCTGTGGTTCCAGGATCTCATTCAGATGCAAGCTGCACTTGGACATTGTCCTGTCCCCTGCCAAGCATCGCTGCCTGCCCTCTCCACAGGGCTGGGGACCAATGTCCAGCAGATCTGAGCCAGGCCCCAGCACCTCCTCCTGCCTTGGAAAACAAAGGATGGCCATTCCTGCCCAGCAGGACCAAAGCAACACGACAAGAGGTGCTGACCTCCTTGTGAGAGGGCTTTGGCTCTCTTCTTTCTGCTTCTTGGAGATGATCTGGAAGACACAAGGAGAGGAGATCCTGCAGTGAACTTTGGTTATCCAAGATAAGCATGGGAGACACTATCTTACTGATCTCCCCCAGGAAAGCTCCATTTGCACCCACACCAGAGCTTATCTCATATCAAAGCTCCCCAGACTATAGACACTTTATGGTGATAACAGTTTTATTCCCAGTAAAGCCTCATGGAAGTCAATCAAGTGTAGCCAGTCAGCCCTGACTCACAGCAGGGATGATCTTGACAGTTCTAGGCTTTCCCAGCCTCTCCAATCACTTCATTCCAGAGATCTCTTTTGAAATGAAATATTCTCAGACTGTAACATGGGATGGGAGGGAGGATGGATGTTATTTTTATCCTGTGCTTTCACATATGACTGGAAAGGCTGGAAGGTGGATGGCAATTCCTGTGGCACTGGAAATTCTGAGGACAATGAGTTCCCTGTTTCTCATACTTCCCATAAGTTTTCTGGCAAGCACAAGGTGGATGAACTGGACATGTTCATCCTCATGGAGAAGGAAAACGGGGGAAGAGGGAAGCAGGACTGCAGTGCCCAGCCCAAGGGTAAGTTTTGAGCACACTTCTGGGAACAGGTTCTGCCCACATAATCCAGAGGCCACAGCAATCCTTCCTTCCCCCCATCCTCCACTGCCTCACTGGAATCCTTTCCCCACCTGCTTCAGCTCTTACCCTGAAGGAGACGGTTCTTGGGCTGGCCCGTCGGATGGAGGTGACGTGGGTTGGAGAAGGGTCTGGCTTTTCTGCAGCTTCATCTCGGGGAGGGGACAGCTGGATTACCTGCTTTGAGGGGTTCCTGGATGGCTGCTGAGGAAAAAGGAGACCTCAGATGTATTCCTGCAGAGCCTGCAGAGAGGACTGAGGTGCAGGAGTGGAACAGTCAGGGCAGGAACTGGGCTGGAGGCCAGAGTTTGAGATCAAAACCCTCCAAACCTTTCCTGTCTTCGTTGGACTTAGAGAGTCCCCAACAGCCCTTCAGTGTCACCATGATGGCAATCAGTGGGCCTTGCTGGAGAAGGTGATCAGGACAGCACAGACCAGGGAGGGGAAGGAGGTGGTGGGACCCTGTCCACCACTTCATGCTTTGCAGCTCTCTGAAAAACCTTCCTCAAAATCCTCCAGGTCCCATTTCCCTCCTGGTACTTTGGGGCTGTGTCTTTCTCTGGTTCTCCCAGCGCCCAGGACCTCTCCCCCCGAGGCCTGGTGCTCCATCCATTCCTGCTTACCTGCTGCTCTGGAGATGAGGTCACCACTGAGCTTTTCTCTTCTGTGCTGCGGTTTCCCACCCTGGTGAGGATCTTCACCTCCCGGAGACGGCAACTCCCCACCTCTGGTGGCTCCTTTGCCTCCTTCCTCTGCTCCCCCCGAGGAGTCTGCACTCCCTGGTCTTTGTCCTGGAGCCGTGTCCTCAGCAGCACCTTCCTCTCGGGGGCTGGCTCCACGTTCTTGTCTCGGGGCGGGTCCCCTCTGCCCCCGGCCGCCTCCTCTGCAGCCCGGCTGCTCTCCTGCCTCCTGCGGGGCTGTGCCTCTGTCTCCGGGCAGCTCTCTGCCACCCCTGCCTCCTTCTGCTCCTTCTCCTGCCTCAGCTTTTCAGACACGGCTGGGAGGCACCTCGTTCTTCTCCCTTCTTGTGTCTTCAGCACCTCTGAGAGCTTTCGCTCCTCCCCGTCCTCCGGAGACTGCGGCTTCACCAGGGATGAAGGTCTAGGGACAGGGACAACATGGGATGACAACCTCAGCACCTGGGGCCAGAGGGGTGCATTTCATGCTGCAAGTGAGGCAAAAGGCTCTGGAGAGGGACATAAAAATCCCACAAACATCCTGGAGTCCTCCTTGCAGACCAGGCTTGCAGCCACTCTCATCCCCATCACCCCAGCTCAGCTGTCTGAGAAAAAGTTTGGATTAAAATTATTTTTTTTCCTTTCTGTCGTAGAGATGAAGCATTTCTGCAGCCTCATTCCAGGACACCAGAACCCACCAAGTCCTGTGCCAAGGAGATCCAGGCTCAGGGCAGTCTGGGTCTGCTGCTGGATAAGAAGGGTGGCTGTGACTCTTCACTGGACCAGGAAAAATCCCACCAACTTAAAGTGGGAAGTGTTGGTTGGAAGCCAATCTGCTCTGGCAGGTCCACCCACAGTGAAAAGCTGTTTCCCCTCCTTCCCCCAGGCAAACAGGCACAAGGACTGGGAAGGGGCAGGAGGACACAGACACAAAGGCTGTGTCTGCACACTGGGGAGGAGATGGGATAACATCTGCCCTCCTCCTGAATTGCAATCACCACATGGCCAGCCTGTGTCAGCACCAGGGAAGAACTTGTCCTTCCCAGCTGGTTCATTTTAGTCATGCCCAGCTCCCCTCCACCCCTTATCCAGGCCGAGAGTCCCAACTCCATCCTGTCTGAAACACAGGAACACCTCTGGAGTGGGAGCTTCACTGTGGACACAAACTACCTAAATACTGGACACTCCCAGGACCAATTTAGAGAGTAGGTCAGGTTGTGTAAGGGCAGCCTGGTCCCAGAGTACCTCCAAACCCCAGCTCCCTGCAGCCAGGGACTTTGGCAGCACCAGTGGAAAGCCCTTGGCTCAGATCCCCACTTCAGCAAAGGTGCCACAGCGTCACTGTGAGGTCCAGAGGGGCAGCACAGCCAGCCAGGCTCTGCCTGCTCTGCTCTCCTGCCCTGCAGAGCTGGGCACCCCTTACCTGCTGCAGATCCACCTGCAGCACCACCCTGAGCCTGGCCCTGGCACCAGCCCTCCCCCACTCCTGCCCCTGTGCCATGGGGAGCCCACCCGAGGTGTCCCCCTCGTGCCCATCCCTCCTCCCCAGGGCTGTGAGCTCTGCCCACAGCTCAGCCAGGGCCCGGTGTCAGGAGCCAGGCCAATGCCAGCAGGAGCCCACAGACCTGCTGGAAGCTGGGCTGGTGTCCTTGGCAGGGCTGGCAGGTTCCTCCTCCGTGGAGGTGGAGGACAGCAGGTTCCGGTGCCTTCGCCGGCGCTCTCTTTGCTGCTCTTCCTCATCCTCCAGGGTCCTCTGCCTGGCCAGGCTGTTTGGGAGGAAACATAAGGACATGGGGGGGCTGTGTCCTGCATGGGCACCCTGAAGCCCTGGTGCCAGACAAGAAAGGAACTGCTACACCCTGGGCAAGGCCAAGGGCTGGCAGAAGTCACCTTGCTGGAGGAGAGCAAGGCCAGCACGAGCCAAGCACCCCAAAGGGCTCTCACTCCACCCAGCTGATGCAGGCCCTTCCCAAAGCAAGCACTTGACTTCCCAACTCCCATTTTCTCCTGCTGGAGGGAGCACTCATTTCAAAGGAATCCCTATATTAAGCCAACCTTGCAGGGGAAGGATATTGAACCTGTAACTCAGCCAGACCAGGACCCTTGAGCTACCACACAGACCTCAACCACACAAACTGGAAGGGTAACCACTATGGCACAAGAGTTTTGGCCAAAACCAAGATGTGGTGATGGTAATTTAGTTTTTATAGAGCAAAAACCCTCAGATGCAAAAATATCAGAGGCTGAAGGCAACTGCTGAGAGGCTCTGCCTGGGGATGGGGCTGGCAGGGCTCCTCTTCACCCCCTGCATGTGCCTGGACTGGGAATTGTTTATGATCACAGACTGAGACAAAAAGATGAGGTTTGGAATCATCTTTGAGCATTTTATTTTGCATAAGCCAAATGTGGGTTGGGTTTTATTACTTTTGGTTTTTGTTTTGATTTGTTTTAATAAAATACCACTTGGAATAAAAAGTTGTCCAGAAAACACCAGCTCTGCCATCCTTTCTCTGTGCCAAAGCTGCCCACCCTCTGTGCTGGTGCATGAAATGTGCTGGAAAATATTTTTATTGGCTGATGGAGCTTTTCAGAGCCTGGTTCTTCTCCCCCAACACGAGCCCTCAATCAGCCACAAACACTGCAGGGCACCCCAGCAGAGCCTCCCTGCCAGGGTCCGTGCCAGGACCTCACCCCAGCTCAGCCTTTGCCACGAATTTGACTTTTAGCGAAAGTCAGAGGGGCAGGGCCGCATTACGAGCGGGGACTTGCGGCTGGTTCCGAGTTACTGAGTAATCCCAGCCGGTCATAAATTAAACCGCTTTACCCCCCGCGAGTGCTCGCGGCTTCTGCTCCTCCTGCTCGGGGCGGGCGGGGAGCGCGGCGGGGCCAGCGGAGCGCGAAGGGGGCGAGGACAGGGCTGGGGACAGGGCTGGGACAGGGCAGGACAGGGCTGGGGATAGGGCTGGGGACAGGGCTGGACAGGGCTGGGACAGGGCAGGACAGGGCTGGGACAGGGCTGGGGACAGGGCAGGACAGGGCAGGACAGGGCTGGGGACAGGGCAGGACAGGGCTGGGACAGGGATGGGGACAGGGCAGGACAGGGCTGGGACAGGGCAGGATAGGGCTGGGACAGGGCTGGGACAGGGCAGGACAGGGCTGGGGACAGGGCTGGGGACAGGGCATGGCCGGGCTGGGGACAGGGCTGGGGACAGGGCAGGACAGGGCATGGCCGGGCTGGGGACACGGCTGGGAACAAGGCTGGGACAGGGCTGTGCTGGGCTGGGGACAGGGCTGGGCCGGGCCGGTGACAGGACTGTGTGGGTTGGGGACAGGGCTGTGCTGGGGACAGGGCTGTGTGGGCTGGGGACAGGGCTGTGCTGGGGACAGGGCTGTGCTGGGGACAGGACTGTGTGGGCTGGGGACAGGGCTGTGCTGGGGACAGGACTGTGTGGGCTGGGGACAGGGCTGCCCTGCCCTGCCCTTCCCTCCGCTGGCCCCGCAGCCGAACATCCCCACAGCAATCGGACCCGGGCTGGGGAGCTCCGGGCGGGCTCCGATGCCCGCTCGGCACCGGGACGGACGGGGCTGGCGAAGGCTGGAGGTGCCCAGGGAGCATCCCCGGCTGGGACAGCCCGGCCGTGTTCTCACAGCCCCGGCGCTCCCGGGCACATCCCAGCAGGCAGATTCCCGGGGAGGGGACACAGATCCCGGGGCCTCTGCACTCCTGTCCCTCAAGCAGTGACAGCACGGAGCACTAATGCTGAGCTAAATCCTCACAACAACCGGGTACTTCTTTGATTTTACACAGCCTCCTTCAAAGTGAAAATGGGATTTTCCTGCCTTGAATTACCATGGTTCCTTCTGAGGCAGCACAAGACCTGGCACTATCCACAGGCAGCTCCTCATTATTTGTAATTAAGTGATCCACCCATCAGGCTATGGATCTACTCTGCCAATCTTTCTCTCCTCTTTTCAAAGACGGATTTATTTTTTGCTGTCTTACCTTTTTTAGCTGAAAGAGATGAGTAAAAAACTTTGGCAACTGTCCCTGCCTTGTCCTTTCCTGCCCTGTCAATGATTAGTGCAGAGATTTCTGACATTTCTGCTGTTTCAGTGCTGCCTCATCTCAGGAGAGCTCAGGAAATGCCTTCTGGGGCTGTGAAGCACACGGGGTGCAGGACCCAGCTGGGCTGGTGTTGTGGCAGGTCGGGCTCAGGGGAGATGGATCAGGACAGGGCTGGAGTGGCCTCTGGATCTGTCCCACCCACACCAGAGGCAGCTGAGAGCTGGTGGCCTCTGAGCAGTGGGGTCTCAACTAAAATAAGGAAGTTTTTCACAGTGAGAGTGGGGAGGCCCTGGCACTCAGGGCACTCACAGCAGCTGTGGCTGCCTCTGGATCCCTGGCAGTGTCCAAGGCCAGGCTGGACAGGGCTTGGAGCACCCTGGGACAGTGGAAGGTGGGACTGGATGAGCTTTAAGGTCCTTCCCACCCAAACCAGTCTGGGATTCTATGGACTCCCCTTTCTTACACCTGGTACTGAGGTTTGCAATTAAGTCTCAGAGCCATAACATCCATTTGGGCCAGGGTTCCTACTCTGATTGTGGCACAGGGTGGCTCTGTTTGAGTTTCCATCCCTGCTCCTGTGCAGCCCAGGCTGTCCTGGGGTCTGCAGGGGGTCAGGGCTGATCCCACCTCACTCCAGCCTCATGTGAGAGCCTGACCCAGCCCAGGGTGCCCAGGAGCCTCCCCTGCTCTGGAGCACTCTTTGGGAAGCCAAGGGAGCTGGCGGTGCTGCAGGGATTGCTCAGGGATTGCTCAGTCAGTGCCGCTGATTCAGGGCTGGCTCAGCACAGGAGGGGCTGCAGGCAGAGCAGGACACACACCCAGGGGCTGCATGGGTATGGGGGGACAGGAAACGTCCCCAGCCAGCTCAGAGCAAGGCTGGAGGCACAGCCCAGATAGTCTGTTCCCCAAAGAAAGGCAAATCAGACCCAAAATGTATCCAGCATGGCGTGAGAATGCTTATCCAGGTAATTCTCCTGTGCCTGGCCCAGCTTCCCTAGGCAGCAGAAACAAAAACGCCTCCGATCTTGCCCAGCCACAAGAAACTCCAGCAGTGCTGAGCTCTCCGTGGGGCTGGCATTCACCTCTGCAAACAGCAAACACTCCCAGGGCAGCTGCCCCCTCCTCCCATCCTCCCCAAGCCCCTTGGCCACCAGCAGCCCCCCCTCACCCCTCCGTGCCCTGCTGGAAAGGGTTAAGCATTAATCCCCAGCACTTACCTGGAGAGATCGGACCAGTTCCTCCTGCTGAAGGACATTGCTGCGAGCCGGGAGTTCAGAGAGCCCCCAGAAGCTGAGCGGGCATCCAGGCCAAGGGAGCCGCGGGATCAGCGCTGCCCGGAGACTCTGCTCCCCGAGAAGGGAGGGAGGAGGGAGGAACTCCCTGCAAGGTTATTTCCCTGTGCACCTTCACCCTGCCTGCCTCCGCTCCCACCAGCTGCATCACATGGTTCCTTATCTACCTGACACAGGCAGGGCTGTGATTTGTGTGCCAGCGGCCGAGGGCCGCCCTGCCCAGCAGTGCCACGCACAACCAGAGCCCTCCTCGCTGCCAGGCCCGGGACCCGCGGCTCGGGCCATCCACGGCTCCAGGGTTTCGGAGACAACTCCCTGCAGAGAACCTGTTCTACCAGCCACAATCCGCCAGTCAACAACTGCTGCAGCCCGCGGAGGAGGCGAATTACCCTGGGCCGAGTGGGAGGAGGTTGGCTCCCGGGGATCCAAAACAGTCATTAAAGCACCTCTGGCTGGGCACGGTGCAGCCTTTCCACAGAGCTTGGGAGGGTCCCTGCTCCTTCCAGCCCTTTCTAGATGTCTCAAATGGAGCTGTCAAGGTCTTCTCATTCTTGGGCTTTGCTGCAGCAGTGAGCACCCACAGTCTCAGAGGGGCCTGGGGCATGGGGGGAATCCAATTTTTGTGTGCTGGAGCCCTGTGCCAGAGAGGACCTGTGTGCCCAGGTTCATCCCTCACCCAGACACAGCCCATCAATCCCATCCCCCCTCTGGCTGTGCCCCAGACCCCCACCCTTACACAGAGCAGCCCCTCCAGCCAAGGGCGGGTGTCACCACGGGGTCACTGCCTTTGGGGGGGAATGGGGGTTGTCTTAAGGAAGGATGGGGGGCCCAGGCACAGCAGAGCCAGGTCCCAGCCTGGATTTTCCCACAGCATGGCCATGAGCCCACTGCTCGGGCTGCCAGGCACTATTCCCTGCAGGAAATGTCATCCAGGACCCCTTGAGTACAACCTCTGCTCCCAGTGAGATCCATCCCTGCACCAGCCCGAGGAACTGGTTGTGAGGCTGGGCTGGCCCTGCATGCCTCCAGCCCACAGGGGTGTGCCATGACCTGAGCAATGATTTTAATCAAAGGCTCCTGATTAAAATCCCATTTCTAGGAGATAGCCCTGTCAAACGAGCCGCCCGCTCCAAGCAGGGCTCACTCTCTGCTCTTCTTTCTTCTCGCAGTAATCACTCGTCTTTCAAGTGTTTTCATATATACAGAGAATTCAGTTAGTTGTGGCATAAGGAAAAAAATTACTTAAATAACCTTGCAAGCATCCTGCTAATTGCTGACAGACTATATATAGCAGTCCAGCATCAGCAGCTCCTCTAGAGCAATAAAAACTCTGTGATTAATGCACGGCGAGCATGGCGCTCACAAAACTCATTGCCAAAGGATAGCACTGGAGCACGGGACTTAGCGGGGTTTTCCAAAGGATTAGACTGAACGTGGCGGTGAAAGAACACCCCCAGCTAGGATCTACACAGCAAAGGAATATAAAACCTCCCAGTCTGCAATTCCTCTGGTTATTAAGTTGAAGAAATTCTAGATGGGCATTTAGTGCCTGGGGATTAGTCAGAGGATGAGCCTGGCTGACACTCGCCCCCTTGCTGACACTTGCCCCTTCCTGGGGCTTTATTTGCAGCTCAGAAACCTTTGGAGCTGAACAGAGTTTCCTCTTTATTCAAGTTCCCTCAGAGGCTTTCTTCTCCATGGGTTTGCTCTGTTTCCCTCAAACCCATGAAAATGGTCAAAGGAGAAAATCTCCTTCAGCAAGAAGTTCCCAAGGCCCATTCCCCAGTGCTGGGAATCTGCAAATTCCCCAGATTCCCCAGTGCTGGGAATCTCCTCCTTTATCTTGGATGGGTCCTGCTGGGCTGCACAGCAGCAGAGAGCATTGACCTCTCATGCCTGGAGATCTTTGCTGTCATGGAGCTCCTGTTCTCCCTGATGTTCCTCACATCCTTTCATGTCCACCAGAACCCCAAAATTTCACTCCCAAGGAGGTAAAGCCAAGGTCCAGAGCCCCTCATCTCATAGATGAAGTCGTGCTGGATTTTTCCCCTGTGTGTCACTTCATACCCCTCTAAACCTCCTTTGCCATTTTATCCCCAAACTCCAAGTGCTGCCAGATCTTTCTGAATGTCTGCATCACCAGGCTTCCCCTCTGCTGTGACAAAATTGCAGGAGTTATCAGCAGTTTGTTATCTCACTACCGTTTCCTCTCTGCTGGTTGATTATTTAGCTCTGTTTGGACTTTCCCTCTGAGCTGTGCTCGACCTAAAGGTCTTTGCTTCTGGAATCCCACGAAAATGCTTGTGTCCCAGGTCACCCTTATCCATAGGCTGATTGATGCCTTCAGCAAACAACAGTCACTTTGTCAGACCGGATTTCCCTTAGCAAAGTTATTTAGGCCACCCTGAGCTCATCCTCAAAGCACAGCCCAAGCTGCAGGTCCCAGAGCTGAGGGTGATGAAATCAGGCAGAGGGATGAGTCTGTGAGGGAAGGGATGCCCAGAGAACCAATCTGGTGTTTACCCAGAGCCACTCCATTCCCCAGGCTGTCCCATCTGCTGTTCCAGACCCACAGCCCCCAGGGGAAGGCTCTGTGCTGATGGCCGAGGGAGCAGAGCTGCAGGATGTGCCCTGAGCAGAGAAGCTCCAGGCCAAACCCTTCTCCCCTGCTCTGCCCAGGGAAGCTGCACCTGCCCGAGGAGGAGCCCAGAGCTTCCCCTGGTGTGATCAGCAGAACTCATTAATACCCTCTAAGGAGCTAGACCAGTTTCAAGAGGGCTGTTTTTTCCCTTGGGAACAGTGTTCTGTGTCTCATCACAGTGCAGAGCCTGTTTCTTTGGCTACAGGGTGGTGGAGAGCTCCCAGTTTGCACAACTGTGTGTAATTATGGCATTCCTCAGCTTCTCCTGGGGCCCAGCTCTGAACCCTGCACCTCCATCCCTTGTGCTGTGCTGGTCCCTCAGCCTCAGCCACAGCTCAGCTCCTCTCTCTCTCCTGAGGCTCATCCCTGCTGCTCTGCCATGGTGGAGCAGCATTTTCTTCCCAGGCTTTTCTCCCGAGCTGGGGCATGGGGCTCCTTGGCCAGGAAAAGGGGCTTTCACTCCTGCTTGGCTCCATCCCACCACAGCTTCCAGAGGTCCCACCAGCATTTAAAAGCTCTGGGAGGAGCTGGAGGTCTCCCTCCATCCCTGGGATGGTGCTCTGCAGGCCCTGGAATGGTCCAGGGCTCTCCTTCCCCCTGAAATGTATTCAGCTTTTGGAGAGATGTGTGTGATGGTACAGAGAGAGCTCAGTGAAGGGTCTGGAATTGGTGCTTGCTCAGAAACTGAACCATGGCCTTTTCTAGGACAGGAAATATTCCTAGGAAAGGAATTATCCACTGTCTGAACTGCCTGGCACCAGCTACCAGAGGGCCTATTTTCCTTTAGAATTTAGCTTTTTATTTAAAAAATAAAGACAAATCTTGCTTCAGAAATTCCACCATGATGCCTCATTGTCCTTCAGGTTCCCTTTCCATTCCCTGCAGATTGGCCTCCTCATCAGATGCCATCCCTGTGACACTCCAGATCTAACAATGGCAAACGAGGGGCATCCCCCAAAAGTGACATTAGTGCAAACCTCTCAGGTGCTGCACAGAACAGGCCTGGCTCACAGCCAGCAGCTCTGTGACAGCTGCACCCCCCCAGCACAGGCAGGGACAGAATCCCAGGGTGCCTGGGGTGGAAGGGACCTCTGGGGATCAGGCAGGGTCACCTGGAGCAGGGGACACAGGGATGTATCCAGGTGGGTCTGGGATGGCTCCAGAGAGGGACACTCCAGGCCCTCCTTGGGCAGCTGTTCCAGGGCTCTGCACCCTCCAAGGAGTGAAGTTCTTCCTCATGTTGAGGTTGAATTTCTTGTTTGTGTTTGTGGCCATTGCCCCTTGCTTATCCTGTCCCTGGGCACCTCTGAGTTGGTTGTGATTCCTGAGGAGCCCCTGAGCAGTGAGGGACAGGGCTCAGGCCCAGCAAGGGCGGCTGGACAAGAGGGATGTGCCCTGCTCACCCTGAACCCTGCTCCTCCCTGGAGCTGCAGCACCTGGGGGGCTCCAGGAGGGGAAAATTCCGTCCTGGTTTTTACCACAGGGGACACACAGGACCAGGGGTTGTGCCATGGCCCTGCCATGGGTCTGACCCTGCACCCAGAGCCCTCAGGGGTCCCAGGGTGGTGTTTCAGCCTCACCTCAGGGACTGCAGCCTGTGCCAGCCCTGTGCAGGGCAAGATCTGCAGCCACCTGCAGAGGCCATGGAATAAACTTCATTCCCATCCCATCACCACTGACCTTTCTCCCATCCTCCCTTTGCAGCACCAGCCTCCAGCTGAGCTGCAAATATTCAGGGAAATATTTGGGCACAGTTTAGGCGTCTCTGAGTGTGACTGCTCAGCAAGGAGATCACACAACCCCTGTGTGACTTGGAAGGGACCACATTACAACCAACAAGGAGGGATGTTTTTGGAAGTCCATACTGTCTTGATTATATTTTTTCCTTCTGTCCAATTTAATTTGAAATTAGTGTAATTTTAGGATTCTAGTGCCTTGCTTTTATTTCTTTCAGTCTAGGCTGCAGTGGAGAAAAGTGCAGGCCAGTGGGGACTGGGCTCTGCTCAGCTCAAGGAGACAGGGCTGACTTCCAGTTCCTCTGGAAAGAGACACCAGTGACTCCTCCAGCATCAGTCTCTTTCCCTGAGAACAGCCTTGTGAACTCCCCCATTTGGGCTGAATTTTCAGTAAAAAATGTACTGGAGAGTTCCTTTCTAATTTAGCGAGAAACTGAGGTTGTTGTCACCTGGGAGGGAAAAACCATGGCACTGCAGAGCTGTGGCTGAGGGAAGGCAGCTGCACCTTCCCCTGGGTGGAAAGCTCAGCCTTCCCTTTGCCATGGGAGCACTGGGACCCAGCTGGCCCAGGGCCACAGGGGCAGCTTCAGGGCAGAGATGGAGAGGAAGACTTGGATCAGTCCCTGATCCAGCCAGGAGAGCCCAGAGCTGACTGTCCCATCTTCCCCTGGAGATTCAGTCCCACTAAAACAGCTTTTTTTTTGTGTTCCTAGTAGAACTGCAATCTGTAGAACTTTGTTTTCCCATGGCAGCCAGTGTGGTTTTCCACCAGAGAGGGATGAAAATGGGACTCAGTGATTGGGGAGCATTATACCTTGACAAAGCAGGGAATCTTGTAGAGAGAAAAGTTTTGGGGTGGGTTTTTCTCTCCCCACTCAATCTGAAACACAAGGTAGCCTCATGAAGCCATCTGTAGCCCATGACAGGGGAATGTGGGACCTTGCTGAGCACACCTGGCTGCCTTTGGGGCTGCAGATTCTCCCTGGGGAGCCCCTGGGTTTGGCTCTGCAGCAGTTTTGGGTGAGCAGGATCTGAGGGCAGGCTGGGCACAGGGACAGGGACAGGAACAGGGATAGCCTGAGTGCCCAGCACTGACCAGGGCCTGCTGCACAGCACCCAGCACCCCTGTGGCCTTTCATCTCCCTTCCATCCCTCCCCAACCCCACAAATTCCACCCCTGTTTTTTAATTACTAAATTAGCATAATTGTACTAAGCTCAGAGAACTGTACTCAGCCCCTGCTGTGCCGTTTTCTGCTTCTGTTCCAGCTCTGAAGAAGGCTTTGTTTCCATGAAACTTCTCTTGCATTTTCCAGCTCTACCAGTTGGTCAGGTCACAGTTATTAACTCTCCCTGCACATCTTTCTTCCTCTGCCAGGACCTGTGTGAGTTCCCTCTGGGGATTCCTGGAGACATCCCAGGATCTCAGACCTCGGCACTGCTCCTGCCTGGGCCCTGAGCTTGGAGGGGAGAGCTGCAATCCAAAACCTTCTGCCTTCAGAGTGGGCACCATGGCAGACCCTGGGTGTTCCAGCTCAGTGGGGATTCAGGGAAGGGCTCACCCCTGGGAGCTCAGCCACCCGTGCTGGCCATGACAGAGACACTTCCCAGGGCTGGGCCTGCCTGGAACCTGTCCTGGGGTGCCTGTGATGAGGACAGAGGAGTCCTGGCACCCTGCTAGGCTGCAGCTGCTTGGCCAAATTAGGCTTGAAAAGATAAAAAAATGGGTGGCAAAGGCTCTGTGTGCCATGCAACTGCTCCAGTCCTGCAGGGGATGCTGAGGGGGTGAAGGGCCAGGAGGAAGGACAAGGACTGAGCATCCCAAAGCCTGAGCCAAAGGAGCAGATTTTCCAGTGGCAGCTTCCTCTGCTCCAATCCTGATTTGGGGAAGAGTTTGCATATGAGTTTTGAATCTTCCCTGAAGGAGCCACAGGGTGCTGTGACAGCCTTGAGTGCTGGTGGCAGGGATAGAGAGGTGTCCCCAGTAGTGTCCCCCCTCACCCTCTGTGCCCAGGAACAGTGAGCAGAGTGGCTCAGGATCCCTGAATTGGCCAAAGGAAGGGATGGGATGCCAGAGGAATTCAGCTGTCCTGGAGAGACAAACCCAAACCCACCTCCCAAAGCCTCTCCCTCACTCTCTGCCAGCCATGATCTGCTGTGGAAGTCCTGCAGGAGCCATCTGCATGAGGCCATCCTCTCCCATCCCCTGCTTTGGGAATGCAGTGTTTTCCTGGGAAGGTTGATCTCTCTGGAGCCCACACACTGTTTGATGCTGTTCCCTTCCAGCCCTGTCTGGGACCTGCCCTTTGCTCTCAGTTTATTGCATTTTCTGTGCTTTACAGGCTCACTCCAAAGGGATGGGGAGTGCTGCAACACACCCTGGTGTGGGGTGGGCTTGAATCTGGGGATGCTGCAATTCTCTGGATAGCCTGGGAACACAGACAAGGCACTGCTGTAACTACCAAGAGCAGCTCTGCATGTGGGCTGAACATCTCCTGCAGTGCCCCCAGCCAGGACACCCCAGCAGTTTGAATTCTCACAAATTCACCCCTCCAGCCCTGCTCCAGAATGAGCTGGCACATTCCCAGCTGCTTTCACTGACCAGCTGCAGTCTGGGGAGCTGTGACACAGAAATGGTTGGGCTGGGGGGAAGCACAGGATGGTTGGCTTGAAATATGGATTCATCTCTGGAATTAAACCTTGAAATGCCCCAACTGCCACAGCTGCAGTGCTTGTGGTGGGCAGCTGGTGGGGAGCTGGTGTCTGGAGCTCTGAAGGCTTTTCCAGAAGCAGAGGAGTGGGGATGGAGAACAGGCAGCTCTATTCCCCCAGGCAGGTGCTTATGGAGCTCTGCAGAGCGGGGCCAGGGGGCTCAGCAGAGCTGTGGAATCTGAGGAGCAACCCAGGGCTGGAAGGGACGAGCCCAAAGCTGTGTGAGCCCAGGGAGTGGGGTCTGAGTGCCAGCATGGGGACACTGCAGGGTGACCTGGCCCTGGGCAGAGTTCCCCAGTGAGGAGTGCACACAGCCTCGGCCCAGGACAGTCCTTTAATGCATTTCTGGCTGCCAGGGACATCTCGGGGTGCCACAGGGCACAGGGGGGCACAGGGGGGCACAGGGGGGCACAGGGGGGCACAGGGGGGCACAGGGGGCAGCTGCTGCCTCTGGGGCAGCTCTGCAGGGCTGGCAGGGGTGGGTGGCAGTGGCCCTTGGGGACAGCACGGCCTGTGGCTGCTGGAGGGGGACGCTGTGCAGGAGCAGGGCTGAGGGCACTGCTGGAAGGAAGAAGCTCAGGTCTCCTTTCCACACCGTTGTCCTTGTGTTCCAGCTCAGTGGGGATTCAGGGAAGGGCACAAAGGGACAGGGGAGCAGCAAGGGCAGGCTGGCAGCAGGGACGGGGATGGTCTTCCTCCCAGTGCTCCTGTGGGAAAGAAACAGCAGAGGGGCAGAGGGCACAGGGGCAGAAGAGCAGAAGAGCAGAGGGGCAGAGGGGCAGAGGGGCAGAGGGGCAGAGGGGCAGAGGGGTAGAAGGGGAGAGGGGCAGAGGGGCAGAGGGGCAGAGGGGCAGAAGAGCAGAAGAGCAGAGGGGCAGAGGGGCAGAAGGGCAGAGGGGCAGAAGGGCAGAGGGGCAGAGGGGCAGAGGGGTAGAAGGGCAGAGGGGCAGAGGGGTAGAAGGGCAGAGGGGCAGAAGGGCAGAGGGGCAGAGGGGCAGAGGGGGCAGAGGGGGCAGAGGGGCAGAAGGGCAGAAGGGCAGAGGGGCAGAGGGGTAGAAGGGCAGAGGGGCAGAGGGGGCAGAGGGGGCAGAGGGGTAGAAGGGCAGAGGGGCAGAGGGGTAGAGGGGCAGAGGGGGCAGAGGGGGCAGAGGGGTAGAGGGGCAGAAGGGGCAGAGGGGTAGAGGGGCAGAAGGGCAGAGGGGCAGCTTTGGCTGTGGCTGGTGCCAGCAATGCCTACAGGATGAGGGTGGCACAGGCAGCACGCCCAAAGGGCAGCACCCAGGAGAAGAGGAGGGGGGCTGGCAGGCACCCCAAGGCAGGGAGGTGTGGGACAGACCCCAGCCAAGTGTGGGGTGGGACATGGGGACAGGTGGCCTTTTTCTGTAGGAAGTGGGGACATTTCTGTGTCTCTCCAGGCACAGCCCAGGAGGCTGAGGGAGCTGAGGGGGATCAGGACCCAGCCCTACCTCTCACTGCCCCGTGGGGGACTTGGCAGCGTCGAACATCTTCTTCCTGCCCTCCATGCCCGACATGGCCTCCACGTTCTTGCGCCAGTCGCCCACTTCCACAGGGCGCTCCTGCCAGGGGACAGGGCTGGGCATGAGGCTCTGGCAGCCCTGCCCCGACCCTCCCCTGCACAGAGCCTCAGCTGGGACACAGCTGCCCCTACAAAGCCCCTGTCTCTCTGCCATGTGTCCTGCACAGGGAGCTGCCTGGGGAGGTGGCAAACAGCGCCCTGATCTCCCCAGGGAGCTCTGGATCCGTGTGGGTACTCCCCTCCCCAAAGCCTGGCCAAGCTGCTTTCATGCACCAGAAGGCTCAATAATCCCAGAAAGATTTCTTTAGGAGGAAGAAACCACGTGGGACTTTGGGTTTACAGCAGCACAGTGGGGCAAATATTTTTACTGAAGTAAAAACACTTCCTGCATTGCCCTCCCACCTTCTCTGAGCGTTTGGTGGGGCTGGGATTGTTGGTATGACAGTGGGAGCCTGGCAGACACTTCCAGAGCACAAGGGGAGGTGACAGCAGTTCTGGGAGCCCAGGTGTCTGCTCTGCCCCCCCAGCATTTGCAGATTACAAGCTGTGCCCCAACACCATCTCACACCAAGAACAAACCAGATCTGTTCTCCACCTGGTGCCCAGGGCTGTAAGCAGAGCTTTCTGTCCAAAGGGCTGGAAAAATGCTATACCACAATGGGGGGACAAATGAAAAACTGCTGAAAATTGAGATTCTCATCCAATTCTGCTCATCCAATTCTCATTCACTCTGGTGAACTGGAATGAGCTGGTGAAAGCCCTCTGGGGAGAGGGGATCCCCAGCTGTGCCTGGGCATGAGGCACAGCTCCAGCTGCTGGGGCACCTGCACACCCCAGGCAGGTTTGGGCATCGCTGGCATTGAGACTTTCTCTTCTCACACCTCTGCCAAGCAGGTGGGGACTGGGCCATTTATCTCAGGCCAACTGCTGGGCTGCTCTGTCTTATCTAATCTGAGTCTAGGAGTTCCCTGGGAGATTTCTGGGTGTGATTGTGCCCAGCAGGAGCTCTCGTGGTTCCCTCTCATGGTTCAAAGATCAGACTCTGCATTTGCAGCTCAGCCATGGTGCTGAGGGGCCCAGGTGAGAGACCCCCACACACTCTGGGAGGGAAGAGCACCACAGACTCTGCCCTAAATCTCACCAGTTACCATCCACCTGGCCCAGTCAGACTGGTCCCATATGGCCCCCCAAGATCCCACAGTGGGAATGGCCTCACAAGGCTCTTTCCAAGGCTGACAGGGGGTGAACACAGGTGCCCTGGAGAAGGGCAAGGGCACCCCTGGGAAGTGTGTCCATCTCCAGCCTCCAGAGGAGTCACCCACCTTCTCCGTGTCCTCCTTCTTGACAGACTTCAGGTTGGCCCTGAGGTCCATGGACACCTTGTGCTTGGAGCCCAGCAGAGCCCTGAGCATGGCATCGGCCGAGACGCGGACCCGGCGCAGGGGAGGCCGCTTGAACTTCCCCCGGAGATCGAGGACTTTGATTTTCAGATCTTTAATCTGCAGGGGCAGGGGAGGAGCAGGGGTGGGAGGTCAGAGCTTGTCTGCCTTGCACAAAAAGAGCCCCTGTGGGAAGCAGGAGCTCTGGCAGCACCGAGCCCCAGAGGGATCTGCTCCTCTCCGGCAGGACCACCCCCACCAGGGCTCTGCCCACCCCGGCTCAGAGCTGGGCCATGGGCTGGGCCCAGCCTGCTCAGGCAGCAGCTGTGCCACGAGAAGCTCTCAGACCCACAGGGGTGACCAGGAGAGTGAGGAACCTCTCTGTGGACCCCGAGGACACTTGGGATTCCCTTGGGCAGGGATGAACCTTGCTCTGAGTGGTGCCGTGCAGAGCAAACACCTGCCCTGAGAAAACCCTGGTGCCTGTCCCACATCCCAGCCCAGCCTGGTCCATGACACATCCCCACTGAGGCCAGAGCTGCCACTGGGAAGGAACTTCCAGAAGGAACCAGCCCATCCTCCCTCCTACCTCCCGGGTGTTATGGTTGCATTTTGCTTCAATGTCGTATCTCTCCTCATCCACAATTTCCACCTTCTCGTGCAGCTCCCTGCACAGGTCCTGGGGCCAAGAAAACAGGAGAGTGCTGAGTGAGGCCCCTCACGCTCCCAAGAGCACCCTTGGGCTGAGCAGTACCTGGAGCTGGCTCAAGGAGAGCCCGCTGGTGTGCAGTGGGGTGACCCTCTCAGACAGGTACCGCTCCTTCTCTGCCTGCTTGTCCACAATCTCCTGATCCCACTCCTCCTTGGCCTTGGCCAGCATCAAACTCTGTGAGCACCAGGAAATGGCACAAGTGTGAACAGGCCCCTGTTCCCCCTGAGCCACTCATACCACATCTGTAGGATGGGACAGACTCGTGTGCCACCCCCTCCCTGCTGTCCCCAAACACACATCAAAGCCTCCCCACAGCTGGGTGGGGCTGTGGGGCTGTGGGGCCATGGCGTTGTGGGGCTGTGGGACCATGGGTCTGTGGGGCTGTGGGGATGTGGGGATGTGAGGCTGTGGGGCTGTGTCCTGTGGGGCTGTGGGACGAAGGGCCATGGTGCCGTGGGGCCGTGGGGCCATGGGGCCATGGGGCTATGGCACTGTGGGTCTGTGGGGCTGTGGGGATGTGGGGATGTGAGGCTGTGGGGCTGTGTCCTGTGGGGCTGTGGGACGAAGGGCCATGGTGCCGTGGGGCCGTGGGGCCATGGGGCCATGGGGCTATGGCACTGTGGGTCTGTGGGGCTGTGGGGATGTGGGGATGTGAGGCTGTGGGGCTGTGGGACGAGGGGCCATGGGGCTCTGGGGCTGTGGGACGAGGGGTCATGGGTCTGTGGGGCTGTGGGGATGTGAGGCTGTGTCCTGTGAGGCTGTGGGGCTGTGGGACGAGGGGCCATGGGGCTGTGAGGCCCTGCTCCCGCTGCCGGCTGCCGGTGGCTCTGCTGGGGCAGGCAATGTTTATCCCAAGCCAGAGCCTGGGGAGCTCCCAGGCCTGTGCTGGAGCACAAACGGGCTGAGGCCTCAGAGCTGAAGGTGTGGGGGTCTCTCCCCACCTCAGTGCAGGGGAGGTTTGTTTGGACCACAAATCCCACATGAGTGAGAAGAGAAAGGTGGGTGGGAGCTGCTCCCCACAGCCCATCCCTGAGCTTTCCTCACCCCGTCCCACCGACCATGTGCTACAACCTGGCTCCTTTCCCCCAGTGAGACAAACCCCAGGGAGTTTCCAGCCCTCGGGACTCACCTTCAACAAGAGTTTGCGTGAGGCTGTGATCTTGGATTTTCTCTAGGGGAAAGGGGAGGGAAGGAAAACACCCTTTGAAAACAAATGCGCAGCAAACGCAGAGCTGCACCAAGGGCTCTCCCAGAGGGAAAGGCACTTACCTCCCTGCAAGCAGGGGAGCAGCCAGGGAGCAGCAGAAAAAACAAGAGAAGAGAACAGGGCATCAAGGAATGAGAGTAAAAAAGAGGGGACGGTCAAGGAATGCATCTCGTGTGGTTGCAGTTGGTTCCTTATTTCTGTATCTCACAGCTGCCACCAGCACATGAGCCAGGCCTGAGGGGAAGGTGCCCTCTGGAAATGCAGTGGGAGCTCAAGGCCACAACTAAGAAAGCCAAAATGTCACTCAGGTGTGACAGGTGAGCTGGCACTATGCCCATTGTGCCAACCCCAGCTCAGTCCCTGTGGTTCCGACACCCTCATTCCCCCAGTCCCACTTCAGCTGGGTCGGGATGCTTGGATGCTGCTCAGGTTCACAGGGTTGGGACATCCCCAGGTCGTTGCTCCAGGAAAGCTTTACAGGGAGTTCCTCCCTTCTCTGCTCACCAGGGAATGTGTTGGATTTGTGCAATGTGCTATAGAGAGCCTCACGGCAAATCCAGAGGTGCTCCCTCCCCTCAAATCTGCATTTGGGGATCGGGGAAAGCCCTGAGGTTTGAACTGGGACATTGAAAGGGCGAACAATTTGCATTTAAAGCCGGTTTTTGTAAGGGGAATGGCACAGAGGTCTGGGGCAGGGCAGGGTCTCCCAGCTCTCCCTCCCCAAAGGGACAAGCACAGCCGGGCGAGGCTTTGGGGATCCCCGGGACCGCAGCTACTCACGGCTCCGGCATCGCGGCGAGTGCTGCTCCTGCCGAGAGAAGGAAAGCGGCTGAAGCCAAGGAGCAAATCCCGGACTCACAGAGGCCAAGGCAGCAGGGAGCGATGCCGAGGCGCTGCTGCCCCGCGCTGTCGGCGTTGGGAAGCGGCCCCGCAGCTCCATCACCCTCCACGCCCGGGGAGCGCGGGACGAGCCCCGGGCTCCGGGAGAGGCCGCCCGCATCCCGGGCAGGCTGCGGCGTGCCCAGCCGGCCCTGCAGGCTCGGCCTGCGGCTCCTGGGGCTTTTCCCAAGCTCCGAGCTGCTGCCCCGCCCGCCCCAGCTCGGGGCAAGGGATGGAGGCTGGAAACATCAGGAGAAATGGGGGTGCCTCGGGAATTCCCCCGCTGGGTCGGCTCAGGGAGTCCTGTCCTGCAGCTCCCATGGGCAACGGCAGAGATGGGAGAGCCGAAACCCACCCGGGGAACGCCGGAGCAAAGGGCAACAACTCTGCTCTGAACAGGGCTGGGGGCTGGGGGTGCCCAGTCTGGAGAAATGAAGGATCCAGGGAGACCTGGGAGCCCCTTCCAGAGCCCAAAGGGGCTCCAGGAGAGCAGGAGAGGAACTCTGGGACAAGGGATGGAGGGACAGGACAAGGGGAATGGCTTCCCACTGTCAGAGGGCAGGGATGGGTGGGGTATTGGGAAGGAATTCTTGGCTGTGAGACCCTGGCAGAGGTGCCCAGAGCAGCTGTGGCTGCCCCTGGATCCCTGGCAGTGTCCAAGGCCAGGCTGGACAGGGCTTGGAGCAGCCTGGGACAGTGGAAGGTGTCCCTGCCATGGCAGGGCTGGGACTGGACGGGCTTTAAGGTCCCTCCCAACCGAAACCATTCAGGGATTCTCTAAGTTAGAGCCCACAGCTGAGCAGGTTCCTTCAGCAGTCACATTCCAGGTGAAACACTCAGGGTTTCCTATTTTACATTTGCCTGGTGATCCCAAGCCCTGGCAGCTGCTCCAGCCTATGTTGCTCCCCTGGCCCTGCTCTGACCCCTCCTATGCTGAGCAGCTGGGGCACCCTGTGAGTCCAATCAGCAGAAAAATGTGGGGGAAATACCAATCCTTGGGTTTTTTGTTTTGTTTTGTTGTTTTTTGGGGTTTTTTTCCCTCAAACAGCATTTTCCAGGCGTGGGTTTAGTCCTTTTCCTTGGGAGTGAAATGGACAAGCTGGGATTTTTTGCCTTGATCCTTTTGCATCCCCTGATATTTGCAAACTGTTCTAGACCCCAAGGATTCATGCTGGGGGAAATGAAAAGCTGGTCTCAAACAGCTGCTCACAGGTTTGTGTGGAGCCTGTGCCAAGCAAATCTCAGGGCACATCCTGGCTCTATTCCCTTGTCCCTGTTACCTCCCCATGCCCCCACAGCTCAGCCAGATATGTCCTGAATAAATGAAGTTTGGGGGATGGGGGGAATGTAATAAAATCCCAGCTGGAATCATCTTCCCCAGAGCTTCCCAATCCAGATCCCAGATTTACAAGGAAAAATCCCAAGAACAGGAATTTCTTTGTCCTCAAACTACATCAAACATTCAGTTTCCTTCCCTTGTGGAGGTTTTTGGTGCTGTGACAAACATCCCAGAGGACACCAGGCAGCACTGGTGCCTTGAGCAGGCTGGGTCCCAGCTCCTGCCCCCAAGTTTATTCTGGGGGTGGCAGAGGAGCCTTTCTTTCCCTGGAGCTGAGAGGGCTGGGAGCAGCCTCAGCGTTTCCATTGTCCCCTGCTGGAGCAGAGCCCGGCATTCCTTGGGGTGGGATCCACACCACACCTCGAGCTCACGACCTCTACCAAGGTCAGTCACATTTTAGGGGCAAATGGTCCTAAATTGGCTTCCCAAACAACTGCAGGGACTCAGCTGTGCCAGTGAGACATCCCCAGCAATCCCCAGTGCCAGGACTTTTGGGCTCCAGCTGGATCTGGAGCATCCATGAGAGACTTTGGTCCCTGATGGGGACGAGAGGATCTGGGCAAGCTAATTCTGTAATATTTGCATTGTACCAGCTGTGAAAAGCTTATAAAGCTTATTGAACCACTGGATCATGGAAATCCTTAAAAGAAATAATCCCATAAACCCACCCACAGTCAACTCTGACATCCTCCCCCATCCCAGGAGGCTGGAGACAAACCACAAGCACTCTCCCAGCTACCAGGAGGGAGCTCTGTTCCCTCTGTTCCCACCCTGAACCTCCCACCAGTGAGCCATGCTGGAACACCCAGCAAGTGCTCCTCAAACAGTCCTGTTTGCCATGGTTTGGGAAAAAACAGGCAAATATCAGCTCAAAGTCTTTGTCCCCATTGCAGCCTCACCAATCCTCTCTCCCAGAGCAGAGGAAATGTCTGAGCCACCTCAGAGAGGGGCAGAAATTCAGGCAGATCCTCGTGCTGGGGGTTCCTCTGTGTCCCATGCCAGTGCTGGGGGTCTCGTGCCCATTTCAGCACCAGCACACCCAGGGGGGACAGGGGGCAGTGGCAGTGCCTTACCTGGCTGTGCAGGAGGGAGGTGACGCCTGGCTCGGCACAGCCGCGCTCTGCCAGGGCTGGGGCTGAGGGGGGATATTGAATCCCAGCCCTGCCTGCAAGTGGTCGGTAAAAATAGCACAAATCCCCTCCTCTGCAGGCATCTGCTGCAAGCCCCGGGAGTGCTGGGACTGCTGCTCACACCTGGGGCCCTGCCTGGAGCACAGGGGCACACACAGGTCACCCCTGTGTCACTGCACTTGTGTCCCAGGGCACCCAAACCCCCCCTTTGGTTCCAGGGCTGTTTGCATGGGAATCATCCCAGACTGGTTTGGGTGGGAAGAGACCTTAAAAATCATCCAGTCCCAGCCCTGCCATGGCAGGGACACTTTCCACTATCCCAGGTTGCTCCAAGCCCTGTCCAGCCTGGCCTTGGACACTTCCAGGCACGGGGCAGTCCTGTGCATCGTGGGCACCCTGTGCCAGGGCCTCACCACCCTCACAGGGAAGAATTTCTCCCCAATATCCCATTTATCCCAGCCTCTGGCAGTGGGAAGCCATTCCCCTTGTCCTGTGCCTCCATCCCTTGTCCAGTCCCTCCCCAGCTCTCTTGGAGCCCCTTTGGGCACTGGGATGCCTCCAGGACAGCCCCTGCTCACATGGGGGCTCTGGGGGTCACACACACAGGCTCAGGCTGCCCAGTGCTGGGGATGCCGTGGGGATGGGCTGGATCCTCCGGGCACCTCTGCCTTGTCTGGTGTGACAGAGCTCCAGAGATGCTGCAAAAGGCAGAGGAGGAGGGGTGAACAGCCTGGGAGCTGCTCAGCCCTGCACGGTGGGGCACACACAGGACAGCGCTGGCCAAGGGGACTCCTGGGAGCCACCAGAGGCACCAGAGCAGGACAGGGAACCTCAGCAGGCCAGGCTGCATTGCTGAGGGGTGATGGTGAAAACCAGCAAATGGGGGGTCACACCTCAGGCCAGGTGGGGTGGGGAACAAGGAGGGCACAGTCCCTTCTCTAAGGAGAAGGAGCAGCCCCACTCTCCACTGCAGCTTGGCATGCTCAGCCAGCTCCCAGCCCCTCACAGGCCCGGAGGTCTCCCCAAGAAAAGCAGTGAAAAAGCAGTGAAAAAGCTGCTGTCTGTCCCCACTGCTCCCCACAAAGCCCCTTGCCCAGTGTCCCTTTGCATGACAAGGGCTACAGGGCAGGCAGCACCTGTTCCCCAGGATATTTTTAGGGACAAATTTAGGAGCAAACAATTCCCAACGTGGGGCCCAGCAGGGACAATGCCTGGCATGTTAATCCTGGGGCTTTTATGGCCAGGAGGGACACACAGCTGCAGGAGTGGGGCAGCTCCCATGTTGGGGAGCACAGACAGCCCCATCCTGCAGAGCCTTCCTGGCTCCTTCCCCCTGCCTGGACACCTGCAGGAGCTGCTGGCAGATGGGTGACAGTAGCACTGGCAGTGCCATCCTCGTGTGAATTGCACCCAGCAAGTCCCAGTGGGCAGGGGAGAAACCCCCCCTGCATTCAGCCCACCCCGGGACCCCTGCAAGGACCCTTCCCTGGCTCCACCGCCAGCACAGAGGATCTGCTCTCCCCTCGAGCAGGAGGAGGAGGAGGAGGAGGCTTTAACCAGCCCCGTCAGACCTTTATAAGGAAAAGCCCCCTCGGGGCCAGGCCTCCAGCATCTTTCCTCCCGGATGCCTTGGAATTGTTTTCGGAGCACAGAGGAGCCAAAATTAGCCTGTGACAACGGCGCTGCATTCCCGCAGCTCCGGGGATGGGGCGGGGGCTGCTCCGGATGCCATCTGCTCCAGTCTCGGGTTTCATCCTCTGCTGGGACCCGGGGAGAGGAGGAGGAAAGGGCAGGAGCAGGATGGGGCTATGGGACCCCTGGATTTGGGGTTTTTCCATGGGTTTCAAAGCCCCGGCTCTGCCATGGGGGCTGCACAGGGGGACTGGCAGGGGACCGGGATGTCCCATCCCTCCTCCCCAGCTGACACAGAGGCTCACACACCACAGGGAGCTGCCTCCAGGTGAGGGGGTGTTTTATCAGGTGCCACTGGGGCCTTGGACACCACTCTGAGCTGCTGGGGGTGGGAAGGATCAGGCTGGAAATCTATAGGGTAAAGCAGCTGAGGGCAAATTCAGAGCAAATAATAAAAATACATCTGGGATTGGCTCAGTTGGTCAGAGATGGGTGCTGATAACACCCAGGTCATGGGTTTGATCCCCATTCACTTTAGAGCTGGACTCAATGATCCTTGTGGATCCCTTCCAACTCAGACTATTCCATGATTCTGTGATTTGTCCATGTGCTGCTGCTGCTGCTGCTACAAATCAAATATCCCTCTGTTACTGGGAGCCACTGGTTGAAGGGAAGGGTTCCCCATGGGCTGCCACCAAGGAGATGGATGCCAGCAGAAATTTCCCAGAGAGCTGTATGGGGAGGTCAGAGCCAGGCAGGAGCAGGTCCCCAGGGACAGCTGCTTGTCCCTGAATGTCCCTGGGATCTACAGGTCACCTGTGTTTAGTCTCTTACAGGTGGACCCCCTGGCACGTGTTTAGAGGGATGGGGCATTTTCCCCCTCTGGGCTTTCCAAGTCCCTGGAGGGTGTTGGTGGATCCCCACACCCATGGCAGGGGCTGCCAGAGCTGCCCAATGGTCCCTGGCTCCTCAGGGTCTGGGGACTCCAAATGCAAAGGCACCTGACTCCTGTGAGCAGTTCAGCTACCCCACATGAAGCCAATCTCCCTGAAGAAATGGACTTGAAGCAATGCTGGAGGGGTCTCTTCCCCTCCTTGGAACCTTCCCACCCATCCTGTCCTCACCCTCTCCCAGGCACCATCCTCATTCCATCAACCCTGATGGAATTCACAAAGCCAACAGCTCCCAGAGCATCCAGGACAGACTTAGAAATGACAGCTGAGCCTCTGGTGTCCTTTGGGACTGAGCCCGTGGTGTCCTTTGGGGCCAATCCTCACTGCCACACTCAGAGTCCAGCACTGGGGGGTGACAGGAGGGCCCCCAGCTGCACCAGGCTTGTCACAGGACTGGGACAGATGCTGCCCCACAGACTCACCACGGTGTGGGAGGTTTTCCTTCTGTGGGACAGCTCAGGGACCAGGGGACAGCGAGGTCACCCCCTAAGCTGGGTGATGGCAAGGCTGCAGGGTCAGGTGGCAGTGAAGTGGTGAAGGAGCACGGGGCTTGTCCTGAGGAATGGTCCCCTGTGGTGTTCCTCCTGCAGACCATCCAGCAGCTCTCCCCCCTCCTGAGCTGCCAGAGGAACCCAGCCAGTCCCACCTGCTCTGTGGATTGCTGACAGTGCAGTGGAAGCTCCTGGGATGCTTCTCTAAGAGCTGATGCCTCCTGCAGCCCTGGGGGGAATTTCCTCCCCCTGCTGCATCTGTGAACAGATCCCACCAAACCTGAGGGATGCCCCAAGATGGAAAGGGGGCAGAATTTGGATATTCATCACAGCCCAGCCTGGGAACCAGCACAGCTCCAGGCCAGACCCCAAAAATTCCCCAGGGACTGAGAGACCTCTCCCAGCTCATCTGCCCCACTGTTCTTCACCCCATTACATCAGCCCCACCAGGGCATCCCCATTTCCCACTGCCTGGCAGGGCAGAGGCTTCTCATCCCTTTGGGATGTGCTGCTCCATGTCCTGCTCCTGTCCCAGCCCCCATTCTGGGAACCCCAAGCTCTGGAGACCCCCTGGGCCTGGTGCAGCTCAGGGGGGTGCCCACGCCAGCCCCTCCATCCTGGGAGGGACTCACCCTTCCCACCTGGCTACAGAGGGCAAATCCATTGGAGGCAGCTGGGGCTGAATGCCAAAGCAGGACAATTATCCCAAAATGCAAGAAAAACCTTCCACTTCTAGAAATATCATGGCCAGTTTGTTTTTCTCTGCTTGAATACTTTGGGGAGGCCTGAAATGTTTGCAGAAGGTGCCAAAGCTGGGGAGGGTCCCCCAAAAGCCAAGGGGCCCTTTAGGAACAGCACAGGCCTCTGGCACATGGAAAAGGCTTTGTTAAATGAGGAGGAATTACCTACTTTGGGATAGTGAAAGGACATTATTGAAATGGAGCCACCCACTGAAGACTTGAAGCTTTCAATGGCTTTGCCAGTGACACATGAAACCTTCCCAGTGCTGATCCTGTGGGCTCTTCTCACCAGGAGAGGGATTTGGGCTGTTCTGTGCCAGTGCAGCCATGGCTCAGCAGTGACATCAGTTTGAGTATCACAAACTCCAGGCTGGTTTCCTGCCTAAGCAAGAAAGGGCTGTTGCAAATAATCCAAAATTTCTGGCCCAGGCAGGGACCCTGACAGAGTTTTTGGACATTTTCAGGGTATTTTCAGACCTTTACCTCTGTCTCTGAGACACATCTCAGTATCCACTTTGGGTTGTCTGTGCCACCCCTGCCTCCAGAGCCACTCAGTGGCTCCTGCCCGGGGACAGTGGGGGACAGACAGGTGCTGGCATGTGCTGGTTGTTCCTCCTGCAGCTCCAGCAATGTCTGGGCCCTTGTTTTGATTCTTCCTGGTGAGTCCCTGCCCTTCCTGGGCTCCCACAACCTCAGCTCTATTGCTGGGGAATGTCACAGGCACAGCTCTGAACCCCCTGGGACACGGAGTCCCAGACCCTCCCACAGGACCCTGTGGCTGGGGAGTGAAGGTGTGACCCTGCAGTCCCTGCCCTGACCCCTCAGCACCCCAGGGGCTGTGCTGCAAGCACAGTCACTTCTTCCTACACTGCAGTGCAGGAGGAGTCAGTGGAGATGGCCAAGCCCCCACAGCAGTGCTGGGGACATCCCAGCCTCTGCTTCCTGAAGCATGGACACACAGACAGCAGAGCTCTGGGCAGGTGCCGTGTCCCAAACCAAAATCCAGTGATTTAGGAATTGTCATTAAGGAATGGCCAACAATGAAATCATTTTAGGAGCATCTGGAGGAAGTTGGACAGTTGACCTAAAGCCAAAAAGCAGAATGCTACTTGGTACAGCTGGGATTATTTTCATTTTTATCTAAAGAGGAACCACCCACAAGCTGAGGGATGATCCCAGGAGAAGCAGGGCAGTGCCAGGCTCTCCACAGGGCACTTGGTGATGGAGGAGGTCCCACGTGACAAAAGCATTGGCACCATCAGGCTGC